ACAAGCAAAAAACCTCCACAGCAATTTAGAGTGCAAAGTGAGCTAGCAGCCAAGCTAGAACGTGGAGACTGCAGTGTAACTGTTCTTCACTCTTACTGTGCAATTTATGTATTTCAGCAGTTCTTTTTCTCACTCTGTATTTTGGCAAAGACTTGCTTAAGAAGCGGGGTATGTGTGTACCACCAATAATCAATTAGCATAAATTAGAATTCAGCTGTCTCTAAAGAAGTATGTTAGTATGAATTAAGGTAGCAACATTAAAAGTATTCTGGAAGAACAAAAGAGGACTTAAGAATTTCAAAAGATTCTTACCCCTGGATGCAGTGTATGAACGTGCTGCAAGAAGGAAAAGCCTGCGTACAAATAACTGCACGTCTCTGTCTTTCTAGGACACTTCTTTTAGAAGGAAATCCATTCCGCACTCCCCGAGCTGCCATTCTGGCAAAAGGAACAGCTGCAGTGCTGGAGTACCTCAGAAGCCGGATCCCTACTTGATAGGATGTTTCCCTGTACACTTCTGAATGGAAAGCAGAGTATCATCACTGTCTGATGCAATTACATCCCTTCCTCGTTGTTTGTAAGCTGTTGGTCTGACCTGGGCCATAAAGCATTCATAATACTATTCCTAGTTTGCATGTTAAGAAATGGTTCACCAACAAAATATTTTCCTCTTAAGGCTGCATGTCTCAGGAGTGCATTTTGAAATACCACAATCTACGTTTACACTTTTTGCAAGAAAGAATGCAGCTGAAAGCTGTCTTTGGTAATAGAGACAATGTTTTTCTACAGTTAAGCCATTTTTTTTAAGGATTGTAATCACCAAAGTAATTGAGCAAAAGGGGGAAATAAGCTTTTTGATTCTTGTGTACCTGTTTTATAATCTTCTGTAGGGTGCTTGATCTCTCTTCACCGCTGCCTCAAACCATTGGTTGCTGGTCTGTACATGGAAAATGCCTGAACATTTAAACGTGATGAACACAGTGTGAAATGTGCTGCAGACTGTGTGCATGTCCTGTGTGAACCTGAGCAAAATGTGGCTGGTGTTGGTGGCTGCACTGAAACAATAAATGTTTGCTGTTGGATATGTGTGTTTCGTTTCTAAATCTTTGTGTTGTAATTGAAGTTTTTAGCCAGTAACAATACAGAACATTCAGCTTTTTTATTTAAATGCACTTCAACATCATGAAAATGATCTCAATGAAAAGAGTAACGCAGGGTGGACATTAACAATATAAAAGGAAGAGTTACTTGATGTTACTCTGTGACTATGATTCGTTGCTTCTCACAGGCCTATGGACAAGGAATGGAAGCAGATACCACACGGATTTCCACTGCTAAGATTTTTTTGTCTCTTGGCTTCTTTTAAACTGCACCGAGTGCTTTTGTTGTGTGGGTACTGTGGAGGTGCTGCAGTTGGGGTCTCTGTGAATGAGAACTAATTGCAAACCCTTCACTTTGCAATCTGAAATGAAATTAAAAAAAAAAAAAGCTTTAAACTAGAAGACATCTTTGCATCTAGGAACAGAACTGTACCTCATTCTTCCATTCTGTGTACGAAAGCAAGCTGACACCAAATAGGTCTGCTGTGTGTTTTTTATCAAGTGAAATGTATGCAATGAAAGCATTTTCATTTCCTCTGCCTGTTCTTGCTGTAATGCAGAAAAACGTAATATGGCTTAGAGTTGAACACCACAGGTTGTGTGTGTGACCCAGAATTAACATAAAACCACTCTTCCTTATCCTCAGGGTCTTCAAGCTTAACGAGCACCTTTCAGCAAAAGTGACGACGTCTGGTGCACCTCACACAGCAGCACAGGGCTGTGACCTGGTAGAAAAGAAGCAGGCCTGACCCACACGTCCAGGGGGACCCAATGGTGGTATGTAGGGTGAGAGAGTGACTGGTGCCAGGAGGGGCAGAGGGAAGGGAATGGGAGAGTGGCATTTCTGTTAAAATGCATGGGAGCGTGTTTGTGCAGAAGAAAAGGTGATCATGGCCAAAGTCGTTCTTGAGTTGAACAAATTGAGAGCATCCATGTGCTGGCAGGGATGGCTGAACTGCTGCTGATGTCAGTCCTGCGAGCCTCGGTTTGGTTCCTTCTCCTGTGTGAGGCAGTTGTAGAAGTCCACAAACAGCAGCACTGCTGGGCTCTTCTTCATCCACATGCAGTCGCTCCGTGACCATATGTGGTGTCCCAGCAGCAGCAATGTGTGAACAAGTACACTCACTCGGTTTTCAGGTCTTTCTCTGATGTATCCTGTAGTTAAAGGGCCTCTTTCCCTGAAACAGCCCTGAAACACTGCTGTGTTTGCTGGCAGGTCCAGCTGAAGCTGTAAGGTACATCACTGAGGCTAGAGGTGTAGGGGAGCTCTGGAGCAGTTACAGAGATGCAGAGAGAACAGCCATCTCGTTTTCCATCACTGATAGAACAGTGATTTGGAAAACTCAGGTCCTTTCCAATAGTAAAAGATGACAAAAGTTAATTACAATAAGGTGACATTTTTATTATTTATACAATAAAGAGACTTTTTTTTAATGTTATTCAAAACACTTCTTTAAATACTGAAAAAGTTGGGTACACCAAAGCCGAAAAATGGCTCTGCTATACACTGCACAGCATTGTTTTAGTCCCTGTATTTGTTTTATGTACAGAAGCATCTGCAAAATGCATTCTAAACACAATATGCACCTTACGGGTAAGTGTCATACATGAAAGAAAACTGGAAGGATACAACCTGCGTGTGCAAATTAACTGACAATATAATTGATTGCACTGAATCAATAGATTTAAAATATAATTTTGAAGTACCTTTTTGCACATAAAATGAAGCAGCTTTCAAGTTCAGTAAGTCTTTATACTGCAAAAAACATTAAGTACATTCACAATCTATGTTAATAAAGTAGTAAATATTTTTTTTCATTCAGCTTTATTTACATTAATACTGTAATTAAACTGAAAAGTACAGTTAGTCATTTGTAATATAGCAATCTTTTAACACATACAAAAATGACCATTTTCTGTATATAATTTAAGCTCAAAATCACAATTATCTCAAAATATTAATTACAATACAGCCATCTCCATCATAATTAAACATGTCTTTTATAAAATGGTAAAATTTTTAATAAAGTAAGCTGTTGGTTTTGAACTGGATACAGTACTCACAAGTAGAAAACTTAACCGATAAGTGTTTGTTCTGAGCAGGGTTTCAGGGTAAAGCCACATATGCTAGCAAAGAGACAAAGAAGGCCCCAATTGACAAAGATGAAGCCTCTTGTGCTGCAGGGCTGTGGCTCAGTCGGTGGTGCTGCAGGAAAAGCCTTACAAGGGCCGTGTAAATTCTGGCTGCAATGCAATGATGTCATTCACTTTTAGAATATTTGTGTGAATTGTCCTCTAAGAGGATTTGCAAAGGCTCTTTTTTTTTTTTTTTTTTTTCCTAAGAGAAACTACTGAAGTTCTAGGAGAAAACAAATGGTGTCTTTAGAAATTGGCTTTTACAGAGAAGAGTCACGTTTGCTGCCCCCAGCTCCTCCCACCCCGGAGGAGCAGGGATCACCTTGCCTGGCCTCTGCTGTCACAGCTGTGCTGCACTGCACACGTGGCCAGAGCTGCTGCTCCAGCGTACCCAAACCACACTTGTTCAAAACAAAACCAAACCACCAATTAATTCATATCCTATCCAAACTACTGGCCTGAAAGTTGTATCACTACTTTGTATTCCACTCATACTAGCAAGACAAACAAATGAAATAAGTCCTTAAATCTGATTGATTAGCCGAAATTAACATTGTAAATCTTTGTGCACTAATTAAATTCTGAAGGCAGAAGAGGGGAGGCTGGGAAGCCTCTGGGAGGCTGAGGCAGGATGGAGAGTACGGTACCATAGCTTGTGGGTAAGGAGCTCAAGCTTCAGGTAAAGGTTTGTTCTTCATTGGAAATTCTAAATGTAAAATCTGGTAAGGTAGGTGGTGACCCCACTGAGGTTTATGATCCCCTGTGTTTGTTTATGATTTGGGCAAATTGGTATTAGTGTTCTATTTTATTTCTGTTTGATGTGGCTTGCCTGGCTGTGCAGGACAAGGGTTGCACCATGATGGAACACGGATCCCCATGTGCTGAACTCCCCCCCAAGGCAGTGCACAGACTCCAGCCCATGTCCTGCTGCTGGCTGGCTCCTCAGGAACAGCCCCTGTGCCACCCTGGGCCCAGCACCAGTGCCTGCATCTTTGCTGGAGACCAGACCCTGCATGTGAACAGGTTCAAAGGTTTGTCATTTAGAGTTGTCTTTGCATTTCCTGTTGCATATATCTCTATCAGATATATACATATATACACATATTTATAAATATGCAGACTTCCCATTGCATAAGGTAATTAAATGCTATATTACAAGCGAGAGAGGATTCACCATGGGAGAGTCTTTACATTCAAAGTGCTTACTAACAACAGCAAACCAATTTCATGAACACTCTGTCCTGTAGTTTTTAGTTGAACCTCCAGGTCATGAAAATCAGTGGTGTTCTACAGCATTGGTGGTTTAACTTCTAGCTATTCATCTATCAACTAAAAATATGGCTGTTAGAGCAATGTTTCAAAGGTCTTTTCATTCATGTTCAGAAAAAGGCCCCTTGTAACAGCATCAGTAGTCTTTCAGGCAGAACATTCCCAATAAATAAATGCTTGGAAAATGTGTTTGTGGTCCCGTGGATGCACTGCATGCAGCTGCAGGGCTCTGCTCTCACCCTGCTCTTAGCTCTGGAAAGCATCGCAACAGATCTGAATTCTGCTATTTAGAACAACTGGCTTGTAAATATCCAAGCTGATCAACACAAACTGTTAATGCTCAGTGACTAAACTGTTAGGACTAGAAGGCCCCACAGGCTTCCTGTGATCTTCTCTTAAAAATGTTTCTCAAAATAAGAAAAGCATTTTGTGAGCAGCTTTCTTTTCTTTAATTTTTCCTTTTTTTTTTTTTTTCTTTCTTTTCCCTAATAGCCAACTGGTAACAGGGCTGCAGAACAGCTGGGCCCTGGGATTTGGACACATCTGGCCCTATCAGGTGCCACTGGCAGCGCAGGGACATCAGCCCCAATACTGACCATGAGTTCCTTAACTCACTTGCTGCAAAATGAGGGTAAGAGAGCCCCAGTGCAGATTTCCTTCTGCAATCCAGCCCTTCCCTGAGGATCATTTGTTGTTTATTGCAAGAAAAATGTAAAAAACAAGAACCCAGCACAGTTCCGTTGAGATTAATGCTTCCACTAGGAGCTTAAAAAACAGCGTATGGAGTGCCTGTATAGTTGACAGGGGAGAACATATGGTGTGCCCAGGAGTGCTGTGTAGCCCAAAGAAAGGAAACCATCTGCAGCTCTGAGCCTGCGCTTGCCTGATCAGAATTCCCTGACACACACACAGTGAACCACACATGGAGCTCACCTCTGGATGAGCTGTCCTCTACCACCAGCTCTTGCTATAGAGCTCTATTTATACTTACGGGCTTTTTATGTGCAAAGCCTGCATGTAGCTGGCTGCCCTGCTCGCAAACCTGGCCATGCACAGTGGTGTACGTGAGGTTCTGGGAAAGAAAAAGGTGCAGGTTATTTGAGTGGGTTAATGTGGAAACCCTGAGCAGTCCCACTGAAGACTGGTTGCTCCTATCTCAACACCACTTCTATCAATTTGAATACAAACAACGCTAAAAAGAAACTGCTGGGGCATTTGGACAGTGGTGGCTGCTATTAAAGCTTATCTACTGCACGTTTCAGCTGGGAGGCCAAAGTCATCCCAGATCCCTCCTGGATCTGGGAGTTGTGGCTGAGGTACAGTGGTGCTCCACGAATTCAATTTTGTTGTAATTTCCTTTTCATTACAATCCATTGATGAAAGCTCTCAGCAATCTTGATACACAGTTGTGCACACAGCCTCGATTTATTCTGCCACTGTGCTTTAGTCTCATAAACTCAGCGTGCAGAAACCCACCAAAGCAAAAAATGTAGCATTAAGCTCTGAAGATCAGAGTTCACCCATTCTCACCTATCTCCACTACCTTGGCAATAGGCCTCCTTAGCTCTGCAACTCCCTGCTACATTTTGATGCTACCAAAGCACTGTGTGCACTGCAGCTGCTGTGTGCAGAAGTGCTGAGGGAAGGAGGGATGTGTGCACTGCGTTCTGCACGCCCACGTTGCACAGTGTTACAGTAGGATGCAAAATTGCAGAAGTAATGCACTCCACTTTCCTACTGGCAGCAGAAATGACAGGGAAGCTCTGAGCATGGGGCCGTGCTGCCATAAGGTGCCTGTGGGCTGCACAGCTGCAGCTGTACACGTGTGCTCTGCACACTGTGTGTGCTCACATCCACAACAGTGATTTTTCTGCGTGAAAAAAGTAGCTCCAAAGAGGATTTAGGTGCATAAATACCTATTAACATACCTGATTTCCATTCAACGTAACTACAGACTACAGAGGTACAATTTTCTGAACATGATGATGAATAAATGTTGATATTTTCTCTTAAAGGACAATGGACTTAAGGTGGGGACGTTGGCCTCTGATGTGCCAACTCATGGGAGAGCTTCAAATGGGTTCTGCAGAGCCTGTGTGGGTTTTGGGGATGTTCTGAAATTGCATCTGTGTGACAGAAATGGAAAGCTGAAAAACAGGGGAACAACCCCAACCTGGATCAGCTTCAGCTTGTAATATCAAGTGGATCTGGGAGCATGTTGCCACTCAGGGGTCACAGGAGCTCTTCCACTAAGAGCACTTGCACGGGTAAAGTAAAAGTTAGTTTGATGTCAGTTAGGAATTTATGGTTCATTATTATTTATACTAATAAACTCAATAACTCTTGTTCTTTAAAGAGAAAAGGAAAGAACCATGGAATATAGAATTTACATGCCAACGTAAAAGCCTCACACTCCCAAGCCTCTCCAGTGCTTCCCAGTAGCCAAAAAAAAATAAGGAAGAGTGCAAACAATTAAAGACCTGGTGCTTCATAACACCCCAGGGGGACAGTTCCTACTCTTACCTTTTTGTGGGGTGCTTCTCTGTGGCAGGCACCTGGCCCATGCACAGACAGATCACACAGAAGGGACATCATTGCCTTTTGACATCCTGTCAGTTTAACTGGAATTACTTCAGTCAGCATGTGCTTGAGGGGAAGAGATGAAAGGTTTGAGGGTTAGCAGTCAGGAGGTGCCTGTGGGCAGCACCCAGTGAGCAGCTCCTGGCTCTGCCTGCAGCCCAGCACCAGACTGTGGGCAGCAGCACAAGTGGCAGCACCTCGTGGGAGCGTTCCTTGTGTCTCACCTCCTTGCTGTCAGCATGGCGTACACCTGAATTACTGAGGCAGCAGCAGTTTGGCAGAATTTGGTGCTGTCTCTGTTGAAAACAGCACGAGGATTTTTACCTTAAGGGTTTTCAGATTCGGTACTTCGGTGGGAAAGCTTCCCATGCTCTGTCAGTGCCACTCTTCTACGATTTCTCATGTATACTCAATCAATCCCCATTCATTCTAGAGACTGTTACTCAAATAAAGGGTTGTGTAAAGGCTAGAGCCATACTGATCATGGACGTAGCGAGCCCGGGCCAGAGCAAAAAGACAGAACACCATAACACAGGGAAATGGGCAACACAGGTGAAGGGCCTGTCACTTCAAATGGAAAAGATAGAATAATAAAATTAGCAGCAACAAAAGAAGTTTTACTGCCACCCATCACAAACTTCTCTCCGTTTAGGAACCAGAGCTGTCTAAACTCACTGCTCGTCCACTTGGTGCGTTCACATGGAAGCAACTGAAAGTGCCCACCAGCAGGACGTGAGCCCGTCTCCGTGCCGGTTGGTTACACCATCCCGGGGCTATCCAAATCTCACCCTGTGCAGCGACAGTTTCACTCATTAGTATGGAGCCAGCTATACACACTGCATATGTACAGGTATTTTCATAAGGCATATAATATCTTTGCATTGAAAATAAATGAACGTTATTAAATTTAATTTAATATATACTTTCTTTGAGGTGTTTATGAAAATATTTTTTCTCTATATTTTCGTATGTGACATGATAGAAATATTTCATGGGAAGTACAGGTTAATATATTTTATCTTTATAAAGGCATATACAACTTTGAGGCAGTGTTTCTGATGGACAGCAGAATTCCTAAAGAATTGGTATGTGCTTCTGTGTTTTGAAATCATATGAAATTGACTTTAAGAAGTAACTCGATTAAAAAAACGCACCAATGCACAGCCGGAGGCTGACGATTAGAACTAACACATAGCCACATGAACCAGAGATTTATATCGCTCATATATTTCTTTCAAGATGATTGGTACTAACATAGAGTATTATACATTTGGCACTACTGTTTGCCATTGGTCCAGCAATTGGCAAAAATTGGTTTCCTATGTATAAATCTGTTTGAACATTAGATCTGGCTAGACATATTTACTATTTATAAAAAAATATTTAGACAGTAAGCTCACGTTGAATAACTAGGTCTACTGTGTTCTGGAAACTCTTCAGTAGTAATACAGCTTTCTCGTGTTCCATATGTACAAAACTGTGTCCGTTTGCCTGCAACGCAAAAACAAGAAGGGAAATCACGTGAGGTTCTCTTTAATACCTTCATTTCGGGGGAGAAAAGGGATAATACAGAAGGGACAAAAAGCCAGAAATGAGCAGCAGTCACACAGTGATCTCCTGCAACCAGGAGTTCAGAGGGAACACTGCTGCCACAGCTGCTCTGTGGCCTCTTTTCCACATACACTTAGTGGTTTCACACAGCTTTATTCCTTCTGAGACCAGATTTCAAGACTACTGCAAGTAACACTGTTAGAAATCAACACTGAAGTGCCAAGAATTGTACTGAAAACAACATTAGTGTGAGATGCAAAGGCATGCCTTATACCTCAGTTACAAAGCAGAAAATCCCTACCTGGAGGATCTTGTCGCCAGGCTGGAGCAGGCTGGATGCTGGTCCGTCAGGCTGAACCCTAGTAACAAAGATACCCTATAAGTCAGAAGTAACAGAGGTTAGGATGCTATTACCAAGAACTAGTTCCAAAAAAACAGGTGTTTCCCTAACTGCTGGGCTGGGGATCTATGCTCTCTGGCAATGCTCTCAACACCAACCCCCTGTTTTAATGTGCAAGGAGCCGAGCAGAGGCAGCAGCTTGTAGCAGCGCTCGTGACCTGCAGCCTGTTAGCTCCTGACACCATGTAACTCAGGGTCATCTGAAGCAAGATTCCACTTCACAAATAACATGCAATTGGAAGAGTTTCTGGAAACAGACAGGAGTAACAGGATTAGCAGGAGTTAATTAATTAAAGCAGAGCAATGGTCTCTAGAATCCTCGCTGAATCCACTGTCTGCAGAGCAATTAAATAATGAAGAATATTTTGAGATTTGTGTTCAGAATTTCTGTAAAACATGTTAATAAGCCCCCAAGTTAGGGATGGAGCTCCTGAGTGATGAGTGCAATATTTCCACACAGCTCATGAGGTCCTGGACCTCCACACCTGCAGCCTCACCTCCCCACTGCTCTCACACAGCACTGCAGGGAGCACCTCACACTGGCCCCAGAGCTGAGCACAGGCTGCATTTCACCAGGCACACTGCTCTGAGACACCAGGGACATTCCCTGCTCATCACCATCACGTAAATCCTGTGTCCCCTCAGGGCACTTCTCAGCCTTCTGGAGCAGGGTTCTGCCCAGTGTTTCTGCTGCCCTTCCAGAAACCTGAGCTCCTGCAGAGCAGAGGGATGGAACCTATCGTGCTTACATGTCCCCCACGTGCCACTGAAGTTTGAAACATCTGCCATTCAGAACTACTGCTCTGTACTGCTTCCCTCTCATGCCAGCACCATCAGTGTGTCATGGCAGGGGCACATCCCTGCTCAGAGCACTGCTCCCTGCCATCGCTGCTGCTCGCATCTCAGGGGCAGAGCAGAGCCATGTGTGTGGCTCAGAGGTCTGCAGACAACAGGCAGTTGCTGAGGACAACATTGGGAAGCAATTGCAAAAGCCCCAGTGCTTTAAACTGTTCCTTCCTTCAATATAACCGTTCTAGCACACCTTTACACACAATTTTGAATTGTTTTCATTAGTACTATTCTATCTACAGCTGTTGCTGCACTGCACGTGTAAGTAACTCGTGCAGGTACATTCCTAGTGGGACACAGGTTCTCCTTTAAGGATTTCAGACAAGTGACAGACAGTGGAAGCACAACTTAATTCTAATCCCATCCATCAAACTGAAAAGAGGACACAGTGTTCCATATTGCAATACCAATGGACACCCAACATGAACAACCAGAACTAATACTGGCTGTCCTTGGCCATCATGCACCACAATGGCCAGGCCTTTAATTAGCATTACAAACCAGGAGATTGCTTGCCCTGGTGTTCCTAAGCTATGGCTCATCTCCAGACCAGTTCATGGACCAGGACTGCTTTATTTTATGCCCCTGCTACAGACTGCTATTTCAGTTACCTGGTGATGCTTACTCCTGCCTCAGCAGTGCCTCTAATCATGCTGAGTGACAAATTAATTGGGGCCTATACTGATTCTCAAAAGGAGAAAGTGAGAGAGATGATGCTCTGCAACACAGTCTGACAATTTATCTGTGTGAACTATAAACCAGACACCCATGTGACTTCTGTTTTAAGTCTCTCGTCTCCATTAACCAAACAAACAAAAACCAAACATTTCTCCCATAGCAGAACAAGGCCACATGTGGGAAAACTTCTTCCATTTATTGTAACAGAAGTTCATAAAGATGCCATTCATTTATTGTGTCTGTGTCTCCACTACAGGCATTCTAAAATAAAGCCCGTTTAGTGAGAAATGCACGACTTACCTTATCAGAAGGTTTGAATGGATTGCCTTGTCCACTTATTCCACCACTGATACTAAAACCAAGGCCAGGATTCTTCTCTATCCTCACACAAAACTAGGTTAAAAAGATACAGCAAGGTAAGTCACTGCCAGCACCAAAGCCTGACCAAACAATGGCATCTTCTTGTACAGCTGAGCTCACATCAACAAGATGAGTTCACCCTCTCAAAAGCTCTATTGCACAACACAGTAAAAGCCGTTGAAATGTTGTTTTAAAATGAAAGATTTTCATAGTTTTAACATGCTGCAGTGATACTACAGTACTCACAGAGCTCTGCCTATTTTTGCATATATTTAAATTTTTATTTTCAAGGAGAAAAATAAAAGACACTTGTGAAAAAGCAGTTAGTGTCAGCCCAGTCTTTCCCTCTCACTGGAACCTCGGGTAATTATGTCAGTAAGAACAGAATCTGCCCCTACAGTCCATGTTGTGCACTTCCTTTGCTCCAGCTGTCACACCCCTGGGTGCTGTGCAGGTGACAAACAGCTGCAAGCAAGGGGAAGTTCAGAGATCTTCAGAATCTTGCCAGTATCAGCCCCAGTAGTTCTGAGCACCAATGGTTTTACAATTCCAAGAAATAGTGCAGAATCTTATCTGTCAGTCAGGATGGATTTCAATGGCATTGGCTAATTTAGTGTAAAATAAAAATGACATCTGTGCAGCTTAATGACCACTCGTCAAGGCACAAGGAATGGCTTCTGAATCTCAGTGCTCTGCCCAGAGACTTAAACCAGGCAGCTGCTCGCACAGACTGCCAGCACTTCACACAGGAGAGAGTTTTGCTGTTGAATCTGAGCCTCGTTCCTTGAGTTGGTGCCTCCAGCAGTCACTGACATCGGTAAGGCCAAATAGATCGGGGACAGGACCACGCAGGGAAGCTCACCAGCACCCACCAGGTGAGGGTGCAGGATCTGCCAAACACTGCACTGTCAGCACGGAGCCAGGATGCTGCGAACTGGGAGGAACTGCTGACAAGTTCAGCATGACCACTGATGTCAGCTCTGGTCAGGAACCTCAGTGCCAGCATTCCCTGGTCAAGCCAAGAAAATCAGTGCCATTCCCTGGTGCTGGGCAGCACAACCCACCTCCACGCTCTGCCAGGCACATGGCAGCGCTGCCCCAGACTCCCTCATACTGCTGTGTGCAAGAGGGGGATACAGGACTATCTTTCACAGCGTTACTTTCTGCAGACACGCTCCCACCTGCTCCTGGTAGGTGTCCGTACTCCTCTGCCCCTTGGTCTGGATGAGGCATCGCCCCGTCTGCGGCGCCCGGGAGCTCTGCGAGGAGGGGATCTGGATGGGCAGCGGGGGCTGGTACTGCTGGATGGTCACCTTGTTCATGTTCCCCTCATACTGCTGCTCACGGCTGCGGTGCTGCAGGCTTTGCGACCCCATCAAGGTCTGGATGTGGCTACCTGCCTGTGGGTAATGCAGCCCGTTAGGCCAGAAAGCTGAAAAGAAGCAATTATTACAACTTACAGAGTCAAGTATGAGCAAACCTCTTAAATCCCATCAGAGGTTTGTCTTCTGACCACGGTTAGGAACAGTTGTGATGAAAAGCAGCGAGGATACACTCATTTGGTGACCCAGAGAGGTTTAAGGGAAATCAGCCAGATGCAGTTTCATAAACAGAAAGTTGTTTTTTCCTCGTGTTGTGATACATGAATACGTGCTTCAGCTCAGAATATATTAAAAAATACACTAAACTGGAGTGGATTATTCATCACAGCATACTCTTAAGACACTGAGAATCCTCCATCACTCCACTGCATTGTTTTCAGATTACAGCCACCCACCAAGGACAAGCATTTGAGCATTGTATTTGAAGACCGTGAACATGAAGGAGCATTAGAACTGCACATCTCAGTATCTGCCAGTTTCTGTGGACAAAGTGAAAACAACAGTGGCACAATCCCTTCCCGTTACAAAGCTCTGATTTTCACTAGGACTGAGCCCTTCTGACTCTGCTGAGAGAGTCAGCAATGGGGGGATGGCATTTCAGAGATGATCAACATTAACACAGCCACAGATCAGGATGTTTTGTACCTGTCAGCCATTCATCTGACCTTGCAAGTGATAGCAACCAAGGCACAGGAACTAACTGCTCGCTGCCACTGCTAAAATGCACTGGGATGGATTTTCAAGAATTGCCTGCTGAATACATCATTAATTTAGATGCTGTTGGAGCGACTCAAGGTACTGAATGCAGCAAGATGCACAATGACTGCAAGCAAAAACTGCTCTGCCTTGGTGTTCTATTGACTGCATCTGAGCAGAAGGACCAGCTAGCACAGCCAGAACACGTCTGGCAAGTCTGTGTCTCAGTACTTGAGATGGGTAGTCTCAGTGAGAGATGGCACAGAACTCTGCTACTGTTGTACCCTGCTGTTCAGTGCCCAAACTCTTATTAAAGAGAACATGGACAGACAGTGTTAATGGGCACTGACCAACTTGTTCCTGGAAGAGCCTGGGGAAGTCAGTCTGCACTGATTTTCCTGCTTTGCGGGTCAGGAAGATCTGCAGTTCCTCCAAGATGAGAAGGGAATTGCCCAGCACAGACTTGGAGCAATTCATCAGCTCCCAGCACATCAAGCCATGTGCCCACATCACCCTGAGCTATGCAGGTCCTGTGTTCATGTGCTTGGCACTCATTGCTGAAGTATCCAAAAAGAGAGGAATCTCATAAATCCCACTGTTTGACTCAGATATGATGCAGCTCATCCACCACAGCATCTGCATCAGGCACAACGTCCACCTCAAAGGAGGACACCTATTTCAAATGCAAACAACACTGTGCATCTTCAACTGAAAACCTTCAGATCTTCACATCAGCCTAAAAGAGCTCCAGACTGAGCAGCAGACACTGGAAATAAAACAGAAGGACCTCCAGTTTCCCAGTTCTGGCTAACAGATACACCTGTAAGTCAGAAGGAGGAAGATGAGGAGACTCAGCCATGTTAGTAATCCTGTTTCCAGGCAGCTGCCTTGCTCCAGTTCCTCAAACACCCCTTGCACAGCTGCTGAGTCCCAGACAGCCCATGCAGGGCTCTCCAAGAGTTCATGTAGCCTCAGCTGTTGTGTGTTCCACCGCCACCCACAGCCGCTGCAGCAGCCAACCAGCCCCCATGCTGCTGGAATCAGCAGCCGTTCATTTTCCATCTTCATTTTCACTCTTCAGCCACTCATTTGCATCTGCAGTGACTCCAGGCTGCCTTTGGGCTCTCCTCCCCCACACCTCTACCCCTTCCTTCTTACAGAAAAGCAGGTAATTCAGAACAAACTGACATGACATAAAAGCATAGGCACCGCAGTTCTCTAACACGGCAGTGGGTGACTTGATTTAAAGGTTAGTAAATTTAAAGCTTATCCATACAATATCTTGTATATACAATAACTTAACCATAAAACTTATCCGTACAATAAATAAATAAATATCCCACAGCTTATGAGCTGATCACTTAAATGATGATACTTAGATTAAAACAAAGCTGGTGTCTGACCTGTAGCGTGAGCAGTGAAGAGGTCAGCAGTTAGCCCTCACATCCCATACAGTTATGCAGTGTAGCATTCCCACCCCCAATGAACAGAAGTGCCATCACGACACAACCTGCAGCCCTCTGGGTGCAGCTGGTGTAGGAGCACGCGCTGTGATGGCTACAGACATCCTCCACCATCCTGAGCACAGCCTGTGGATGGCACCTCCCCTCCAAAGAGCACATCCCAGCTTTCTCCCAGCCATTTCCCAAGGGCAGCTCTGCCCCAGGCTGACTGCTCTGCAGGAGCCCTTTCTCACCGTGACTACAGGTACTTTGCTATGGGGAAACAACAACAGGTACTACAATTTGTATTTACATCATGTCATTCTTCCTTATGGCATACTTCCTGTCCATAGCAGATTTTTGGAAGCCAAGGCCCTGCAGGTGACTTACATTGGAAATGAGATGAGCATAGTCATAACACACTGCAAAGCACCTCCTGAGGACGGGTAAACAGTTTTCAGAATTCATTTCTCATTCCTGTTAATAGACTTTGTTTGAAGAGATGACATCACCACTCCTTGTGGCTCCTGCTGGAGGTGGGTAAGCTGAAAACAAACCCTGTTCTCAGAAATGGCGATCATTTGTTCTTCAGAAAAAGGTCTCCATCATGCCCACCGCCTCCCCTGATCTCATTGCTATTCTGTATTCATTCAGCATCACCCCAAATGCTAATTACTGTTAGCTCAGTGCCCGATGCTTACAGCACAACTAAAGCAGCCCACAGCGGGTGCAACAAAGGGCTGCTCCCCGGAGTGCAGCAGATTTCAGTACAGTTATGCAATATTTGTGCTTACTGCTTTGGAGCACTGAGACACCCCAGTATTCAGGATGAACCAGAGTCTGCAGTTTCTTACTACAGTAACACTGATGATGCGAGACATAAACTCGTGTCCAATCACCTGAGTGGCTCAGCGCAGGTTTTATCCCAAAATGCTTGTGAAGATAAGGATGAAGGGTAAGTTAGCATACAAAGCTATTTTCGTATCCTGAGTGCAAACTCCTTGTCTCTACCTTCTTGAAAGGGTTGCTGCTGTCTTGGAGAAACAGATGTGAAGCCAGTCGGGGAATACTTATCTCATCAGTGCTGATGAATAATTACTCTGCTGAAGTTTTCAACAGGCACATTATAACTTCATCCAGGAGCAGGACCCATCTCCACAAGCAATTGGTGCCACTATTGCTGCTATAGGCACAGCTCCCCTTGTGAAGCTGGTGGTGGCTCACAGTGTCCCAGCAGTGGCAGCCCATGAGCTGCTCCCCACCTCAGCACATTTCCTTTTGGTCATAAACCGATGGATGTGATTGAAATGAGGAATTTGAGTGAAGGATTTGAAGGCCAGGAGCCCAAAGCTCTCCAGCACCGCCCTCCTGCGGGAAGCTCCTCCTTCAGCTTTGGTCAGTGCAGTGGTTTCTCTCCATCACCCAACCAATTCTTTCTTCCATTTAGGTTTGAAACAATTGCAAAGCACTTCTTCAGATGACTGAAGAACACATGGGACTGCAGCTCTGAAATATTAGAGCCGATTGGTGGTCAATTAGGAACTTTTCCTCTACAGTGCCCACCATGTGCAGGAATACGTCTAAGGACGCACAGTGCCCCGTTCTCACACTGCAATATGCTGCAGCACTGGCATAAATACAAAGATGGGCAGCAGCATCAAAACAAGGCCCTTCATTCCTAGTGAGCGCTGCTTAAAACACTGAGACCAAACCAGAGGACCTTTAAAAGTCCCTTCCAACTCAAGCAACTGCAAAGTTCCATAAAAACAAGCATCTCCCAGGCCCACCCCAGGCCCCTCCTCCTCCCCGGCCGCGCTGCTCACCTTCTTGCTGACGGTGTCGGGGGGCACATCCCGCCGCCCCAGCGGGTAGGGGTTCCACTGGCCGCTCCCCGGCCCCTCGTCCTGCCCGTTGTCCAGGACACTGCTCTGCTGCGACGGGGTCTGTTCACAAACGGTAGGGCAGCCTTTAGTCACCAGCAACAACTCTGCTCCAACCTTATTTCAGTAATCAACACTATTGCTAAAATGGAAATCTCGCAGATAGCTACAGCATTTCGTTAACGCACAATCACACGCCAGTGGGACTCTGCAAGTTAGAGATTTTAAATACACAGGAGAAATAACGAGCATGATGAATGATGAGAGAAAAGGGCAAACTTGTTTACCCTTGATCCTTGTTTTCAGAACAACAAATTTTGGCATAGTCACGTATTTAAATGGGCATTGATTGTTTGAATGAAAGCTTTCCTACTGGCCACCAAAACCATTTCACTGAGCGCAGAGGAAGGCCAGATGACTCCCTTCTCTTTGCTCAGATGGACGTTCCCTGCAGTGGCACTGCAGCCACGGGATGCTCAGCACACAGCTCTCCTGGTTCCGTTCCAAGGCAGCCAGGCACCGTAAGCACAACAGTAACCACAGAGTAAATGCTTTCCTGAATATGAACAGACATCACACACGCATCATTTCCTAAATAAGTCTGGCACTTTTGGGGGTACTTTTTCTCTGCTTTTCTCTCCTTTCAGACATGACTCAGGTCATTTCCTCACTGCACAGTTCTCAGTGCCCTTCAGGCCACCTGCACCTTCCTGCACCTTCCTGCCTCCTCCAGCTTTTCTCCTCTTGCTGTGTTTCTTTCCACAGCTGAAATCACACTGCCATGGGTACATCGCTCTGTGCCAGACCTCCAGAATCTCCAGCACTGCCCTCCTGCGGGAAGCTCCTCCTTCAGCTTTGGTCAGTGCAGTGGTTTCTCTCCATCACCCAACCAATTCTTTCTTCCATTTAGGTTTGAAACAATTGCAAAGCACTTCTTCAGATGACTGAAGAACACATGGGAGTGCAGCTCTGAAATATTAGAGCTGATTAGTGGTCAATTAGGAACTTTTCCTCTACAGTGCAGGCTTAAAAATCCTTTAAGAATAAATAAAGTTAAACTTTTAAGAACTGCACTCCTCAGAGGTGAGTAAAGGAAATTCATCCTTAATTATTTCAAATCCAAGGAAACTGTCACCATTCTCTCATCATTCAAGAAGTCTTCCAGAAGAATCAGGAAAGCTGTGATTTCCCCACATGAAAATGACAGCCAGGAGCTCCCCCATTCCTGCGGGCAGAATGCAGGTCCTGCTATGGGGATCAGCCCCTCTTCTGCCTCCACACCTCTGTGCCCCCACCACGGACGGCACACTGCTTCTGCAACAAAAGTGCTCTGTGCAGAACGCCATGTTCTGAGGAGCAGCAGGGAACCATGGAGCAGAAAGGGCCCCATGGACGCAGTGCTGCCGGGCAGGAGCTCACTGCTGCTGCTCTGCCTGCTGAGCAACACAAGTCGATATGCTGATGGCTGGCAGGGCTGCTGCGCCTGCTGCAACCCAAAGCACAGCTATGAGAAGCACCGTGGTGCAGGCACTGACCATTCAAAGCAGCACCGCAGCCTTCCTCGTAAGCACCCAACTGATGTGTGGTGCTGAGTTAACACTCAACAGGGAAAAAAAAATCAGAGGGTGCTTTCTGAAGAGAAAGGAAGATTCTATTCTGAAAATTCTAATATGATAAAAGTTCCTCTCTCCATTTTCTGCAGCAAAACGAATCCCCCTCCTTGGCATGTTATTCATTCACAGAGCTTGGACAGACCATAAACCAGCAAAAACCACTTAACCACTATGTCAGGGAGAACTGGGGTCAGCAGTTCATACATGGAGAGGGCTCAGTAATTAATCTCATCAGAATACATAAGTGCTAAACACGGTTTCCTGATCTTCCACTGGACAAGCAGATCCCACTCGTTATGCTCTCCTGAATCCGGCCACAGCACAGAGGGAGGAGAAGAGGAGAGGAGAGGATGGAGCTGCTGTGGCCTGGATTCACTGAGAAGTGCAAAATGCTTTACAATGCATGAAGGAACAAAATCAAACAATAATAAACGTTAATTATTCTTTTTCCAACAATAGTCTTACCCCTTTCCCAAATGGTACAGTGAGAGAACACACCCCTCATGCCTTTCAGCATCACATGTCACATGGATACACAGCAATGAAATGCCAGTGGGATATAAAGCAGAATAATTCACTGCCCCAAACACATCACCCCGACCAGTTCCTCCGATGTCCAGGTTTTCACTTCCATATTCATATACACCTCAAAACTGTGGAAGTGATATTACTCTGAACTTTGTGTACAAAACCTCTCCCCCTGTCCGGAGCTGCTGCGGATGGATGGGTGTCTGTGAAGGACTGCTGACAAGGGGGACCACACACCCAAACAGACAGACAAACTCTTGGACAGGAAAAACAGCACGAGCAACACCGAACAGCTGTCCATGTCCCAGCACACACAGCCACAGCCGAGACCTGAGCTGGACAACGAGGAGGCACACGCCCACACTGGGACTCACCCAAACCTGGGACAGCTGAATGGTGGTGGTGGTACGGAGAGTCACAGCAGGGGAACCTGACAGCCACCTGTGTGTGCTGTGCGTGCTGTTAGGCTACCGCAGCTTTGCTTGAGAACCTCGCTGTGTGCTGGCGTTAGCTAGGAGCCCTTTGGCCAGCACAGCCTGGTCACGCTGCTGCCCTCGGTTCTCTGGCACAGGGGTTGGATGTAAGCCCTACCCCACAACCCTGCCCTCCCTGGCACTGCACCAGCTGGCTGCAGCCACGTGCCCGCGGCAGGCCAGCAATTAACAGGGCAGATGATGGCGTTCCAGTGCCTGGCTCTGCGCTCTGCTACCACTTAATTACTCGCAGAGATGCAGCTCGTTTGCAGCACCAGCTACTGCTGTAACGAGGTGAGGCACGCAGCAATGCTCGCCCCTTCTGGCACCACACGGCCCCACACATGGCCTGCAGCAGGGCTCAGCATCTCCCTGGCACCCAGAGACGGGTCAGCAGTGGCCCTCATTGTTCTCCTCATCCAACATCTGCGTGTGTAGAGCTGTGTATGTATGCACTTATCAACAATATAGCATTAACAGTTGCAAAATACTTAGCAAAAATATGAAAAGTATGAAAATATGAAAAATATTTCTAAGGGCATTACTCAAAACAATTAAACGTTAGGTTAGGCGTGCTAGCCACTTATCATGGCACGCATCAGCTATTAGAGTGCCCCGTTAATGTTCAAATGTTACAAATCCTGTCTCTTGGAGCCTATTCAATTGCATATCAAACATCTTTACATTAACTTTTTAAGAACTAAACAGTCACGAAACAAAGCACGTTCTTCATTTCTATGCACACATCAAGTCGTTTAGAAAACATAATGATCGCATCATCTAACACAAGAGCAGAAAGCAGTAATGACAGCCATGTGAGCTCCTTAATCCAAAAAGCAAGATCATCGAGCAGGAAAACACCACTGCCATCATCTTTGCTTTTTGGATTGTGTACAATATAAGCATGAACAGTAGGCAAAAGCTAAACCAAGAGAAAGCAAGGATTATTATTAATTTATTTGGTAATGCTGGTATATGCTGGCTATCCCATACTTACTTTCGGTAGAGGTAGCTCTTGAAGCATTTGGTTTTCAAATTTAGATTTAGTCTGCAAGTTTAAAGTCATGCTTCTGCCGGCATGCATTGCTGAAAACCCTCCAGAGTGCAGCATGCCAAGGCTAACTGTGTTGTGTTTGTAAGCAGCGGTCTGAGTAGAGGAAACAACCACGTGACAGGATATGAACACACATGCTCCTTCAATTAAGTATCACACATATATGGTTAATTTCACAAAGTTTTAGTTTAAGCAAACAAACAGTACCAAGAAGTAAATAGCTTTTTGATGCATGCACTGAGTCACACGGAAGCAAATACATTGCTAGTTGTACATAAAATGGATACCATAAAAGACTTCAACGCTGACAGCAGATGAAATATGTCCTTATCTATATTCTGAGAACTGCGGTATATAACGTGGCACAAGTCTCTACTTTGAAAATACGGCCAAATTTTGGTATGTCTGCACCACCCCAGCTGGGCCAGAAAACACGTCTGGCACAACGGTGGGAACTCGTCCGTGGGATGAGCCTGCAGGCGTGCATCCCTGCGGGCAGCCTGCCCCGAGCTGCTGGGTGCTGCAGACAGCTGGAGGCCAGCTCTGCCTCTGCAGCATCGCTGGGAGCGGGGCGTAACTGTGTGACATCACCAATGTCAGCTTTCCGCCAATCAGAGCATTTCTTAAGCACATACCCATTGTAAGCTCCTAGTAAAGATGCTTCTAAAGCATCTGGGAAGTGTTTATTGCTACCAGAACCTTCTCTACCTGGCTGCTGTACTGTGCCTGGGGTAGGTGTTTTCCAACCTGTTTCACGCAGCACAGGGAACCCAGCTGAAGGAAGGAAAGAGCTTCAGCCTTCAAGCCAGTTCAGCAAGGTTGCCCACTTAACCCTTAGTGGTATTTCAGTATCTGTCACATCTGAGCAATAGGGAGGGATAATAAACATATCCACACCAAACTCGTGGATATCTAGCATGAAATACGTAGGCAGACACATTTTGCTACTAACCTATGCATCAGACCACAGCAGCTTTTCACAATCACTGCAGGTTATGAAGTAAACCCAGATTCATAAAGTAGGCCATTAAATAGTCGACATCATTATAAGAAATCATGCACTGTCCTAACTGTGTTACGTTTCGGATAGAAGAGAAATGGGCACAAGCTCCTATTGCTAAGAGGAGTAATGATCACATTCCATGTTAACAGCAGTGGCAGCGTATTTCCAGTAATGCTTTTCAATGCTAAGAGAGAGCTTTAAGGTGCCTCTGCTAACAGCAATGTGAAAACTAAAATTATTATGGGGTTTTTTTTTGTTTTTTTTTTGTTTTTTTTGGTTGGTATTTTTCCTCATTTTGTTTCACTGCAAAGACGTATCCAGCCTCTCCCAATGCTCTCGAATCATTACGGGAGCGGTGGCCTTCGGCAGCGCCCGCACCTGCAGCGAGGAGGGGATGCTTGGTTGGGCAGGCAGCAGCAGGGCTCCTCCCGGGGGGCTCTCCCTGCTGCTCTGCACACAAAGACCCCCGCGACGCCAACGCGGGATGTCATTACTGGGAGCTCTGGCGGTCACCACTGCACGTGCAAATAGTTTGAAATACCAAAACACACGACTAAAGGCATTAATTGCAGAGAAGTGCCAAACATACCCTGTCTAACCTTCTAGCTTCTATATGTCTAAGTAGCTGTTGTCTCCAGTCAGCAGGCATTTTAGCACAGCTCTCATTTCCCTTCACAGGGGTGGGCCTTGTCTTTATATCACTGTTATCGGAAGGCTTGTCGCCATAGTTACCCAAGTTATAGTCTGACGGTATCTTTTCCAGCAGAGCCGCCATGGTAGGCCTCGCTGAGACCGGCCTGGTTTGAGAGGTACCATAACTCTCTGTACTGTAGCTTCTTGCGGACAAGGGCCTCCTTTGGGTGAGGTTTTTAACGGGAAAGCTGCCGGTCTGGGCTTTCACTTCTTGGTAGGAAGGATGCTCGTCTTCATACCTGCCATTTCTCTTGAGGAACTGGGACTCGGAGACCGAGATGCTGCCCTGGCGCTCCATGGCCCCGCGGTACGGAGCCCGGCCATACCTGTCGCCGGGGGGCAGCTCGTGGGGCTCGCTCACCCTGCGGAACATGGACATCTCGGTGGAGCTGGCCAGAGAATCCGCCCTCCTCAAGAAGCCGGGCCTGGAGCCCTGGCTCGTGAAGGGTGTGCTGATGGCATCCTCGTTCACCGACGGCTGGGAGAAGGAGAACATGTGCTCCACGGGCGGGTAGCCGCGGTACGCCCTGGGGCTGACCAGCTCCTGGGGCAGGTTCTTGCTCTGCGGGGCAATGTACTCGGGGTTGAGCTGGAAAGGCGGCGGTAGCCTCTTCTCGGCCGTGACCTCCACTGCTCCCTGTGGGTTGAAGCTTTGGTCAAACTGGTAGACCTTCTTCGTCACGGACGACTTCTGCTGCGGCTGCACCTTGACGCTGCCGTAGGTCAGCAGCTCGTCGTCCAGCATGGGCACGGACTGGCTGCGGGACATGCTCAGCATGCCGTGCTCCGGGCCCAGCAGCTTGTCCACCCTCTCGTGGGCTCCTACAGTATCGTTACCAGATGCATAGTTTTCTAAAGGTATATTATAAACCTTGTAGGTACCGATGTCTATCTCGTCGATACTTTGCGATTTCTTAAATTTGTTAGTTTTTAAATCCCTCATCATCGGAGAAAGCCTTTCTGTACTCTTGCTGATGGAAATAACGCTTTTAGAAGGGTCTGGGCGACAGTGGATATGTGAAAAGACATTTGTGAGGCTTCTGTTAGCATTTGAATCGTGATATTCCCATGCTATTCCAGGAGCGAAAGTGCTAGTTATCTCAGGAGACTCTTTGACGTGATCTTTCCGCTCGGGCAAAGGGCTGGTGGTGGGGGTGTTTTCCAGTTTGGAAGGAAAAGCTGTCCTGTCTTCAAAAGGACTAGGAGTTCTGGTCCAATTTTGCCAAGGGTTGGGAGGAGGCACTTCAGATTCGTGTGTGTTTCTGAGCGTCGGCTGCTCCAGCTCCAGAGGAATGCCCACTATCCTGTCCTGCCTAATCAGCGGCCTGCGCCCATGCGCAGATGTGCTTCTGGATTTGGTGCTTAGCAGAGGGTTAGCACTGGGGTTCTCCACCACACTCTCCTCCGCCACGAAGCCGGTGTTGTCGTAGTGTGAGCTGTCATTCCAGCTGTCGGTGAAGGTCTCACTCAGAGGACGCCGGTCGGTGCGCGGCGGCACGTTCCCTGCCGGAGCAGATTCCCGTTGGCTCAGTAATGGCTTTGTTTCGAGGGGCTGTGGAAACGACTGCACCAGCCTGCTGAAATAAAACAAAGCAAAACAAGGTAAAATGCCCTCCATTAGAGCACAGAAGCAGTCAGCAGAAAGAGGCACTTATAACGCGATTTAATGTTCTCCCATCTGTACTCGGGCTTTGGGATCGTATCGTGAGATGTGCGCCTTATGTCACGGATCTGGCATGTGCCTGCGGCAGTATGTTGCTCTGGAGCACAGATGCTGGAGGTATGTATACTGAGAAAATAAGAAGTAAGTCAGAATTCCTGGCTGGCTCAAAGCCAAGCTCACACATAAATCCAGCTGAGCATATTTTCCTGCTTTAAAAATAACCTTCTGTGAGTGCAGAGGAAATGTTTTATGCTTGCAACTTTTTCTTTTTTTTTAAAACAAAACTACCAGATGGAGTTTGTGCATCTTCTCACCACCAAGATGCTACACATCTCCAGTAAGCAGACTCCCTGTGTAATGCGAAGGGCCTGTGGATTTCATACGATGAAGCTACATTTGGGTGACCAGAGGCAGGCACAGACAGAGCACAGTGTTCCTTGAACGCAACAAGAGCACTTTCCAGTTGCTGATGGCCGGTGTGGATTACAGCTTCCAATCAGCTGCACTGCAATTGGAGTTCCAGGGCAGAGTGAGGCTCAGGACAGCATGAATGAGAGACACACGCACTCTGTTAACAACACTAAACTACAGCCAGCTGCAGCTTAGGACCACACAGAGCGGAATAATTACAGCTCAATTATTAGGTGTTTATAGGGCATGGCTATTGTACATGGTTGGAAAAGCAGCTGCAGAATTATTGATGTTTATAGAGCAGGAATGAATGGCCAACACTCTGCAGCCTGGGCTGCGTATCGCCATGTACACCCCAAGAAACCTGGGGTAAAGTGTTGTTGTTTTGATTTGAATGTGTTAACAGCTAGCACACGATCACTCCATACGTGTGTGACCAGGGAAGACAAAAGGCAATCAGAAGCTGTGTTAAGAAAGAGGCTCACACCTGTTCCCCCACAAAGAGTTATTCACTGCTTCTTTAGCCGTTGTCTGCAAGGACCCCATTTTAACATGCGCGTTGGAGGACCCTGAGGAAGCCTGGGAAGGGGAATAGTCTGAGTAAGTGCCTGAGGAAACGCTGTTATTCAGACAGTGGATCTTATCTGCTTCAGACTCATCTGTCGACTCTGAAACAAAACACAGCAAACATTTTCAGGAGGTGATGTTTGGAAGCTAAACTCCAGAAAAAAAAACATTTTCAAATGCATACTATGGATATATATATATATATTTATGTTTGTGTGCATAATACATACAAAATACGTTTTATAATCAGTGAAGTGTAGAATATGTTAGATTCTATCTATGCAGATTATGTACGCTCCCATCTAAAAGGTTGTAAGTCAGGTTAGTACCTTTCTTGTCTTTACCCAGAAGAACAAGTTTGGGTGGGTACAACGGAGTCTCTGGCAGGGAAGGACGAAGTTCCCCTATCCTCATCTCACTGGCAGGATGTCCAAAGGCATCCTGAGGAATACAATAATGTAGAGTAAACATAGGAAACAGTGTCAACAATCATTTCAAAGCCTTCTTTTCATGAATGTGACAACACACCGACACCCCACCAGACAGAAATAGTCTAATCACAATGATTTGTCAGCTGAAAATTCCAATCAGTCCTACAGAAATACTTCTAAAATTATGGTGATGCATTCGTTTTGAAAATGTGGACAAAACAGATGGAACTTGTAGGATACATCAAGGCCGTGTAAACATTTTTGATGAAGCAGAAGGCACAAAAATGCAAGCTGCCAGTAGAAATAAATAAAAAAATAATATTCATATCTGCCTCTAACTTCATGAGTAAGTGTTCCTCACTCATTTGTGGCACTAGTCCTTCCATAGATTCAGATCATGATATCGCTACACTTCATTAAATTAAATAATTTGGGTTTCAAAAACTCCTCAGGAGTTCAGCAGTTCTTGACTGTCTAAGATTTCCCTGCACAATGTTCTACAGTTCCAGACAGCAATAGGATACATAGTGAAAATAACATACGTTAAAAAGTGGAAAGAAAATGAGATGGGGTCTTAGTAGGAGGTATTTTAAACAAATGCTTTTAAATTAGGCTCATGGGATAGCCAGAAGCAGGAAATTAAGATGAAAACAAGCAATTTGGGGGCATTTTTTATGTCAGCACTGGGGAAAAGTTCAGAAGTAAGAAAGGTGCTATTCCCAAAGATAGGTGACCTGGGGAGACAGGGGAGGAGAGGATGCTAAGTGGAGGGATGGCAGAGGTAACCCTGCGCCAAGGAGGAAGACAAACAATATGGGAAACCCACACTGGGTGTTAGTGCGTGGGATCAGGGGAACGTCATGGGGAGAGAAGTGATGGAGATGGGTATAGCAAGACTGTGCTAACTAACACCAGTGAGGCTCCTCGTGGGAAGGAGTAAGAGAAACATGCATCGTCTTGGAAGTGGGAGGATGAGCCGTGATTTTGTAGAGGATGGAAGCTGGGGAAGGAAAATATCCAGTGAGAAAGAAGACATTTTAGAGAGCTACCAGGAGAAAACAAAAAATTAGTAAAGAAAATGAGGAAGGAAATGGTTAGAAGAAACATAACTGGGAGGGAGCTTTCTCTTGTGGAGACACGATGGGGATCCCTGTGCCCGGACCTTAGCTGTAAAGGTACTCCAGTGATTACAGGTCACACAGTTTTAGAGAGGAGTCAATAAAGGTAGGAGATGTAACATTTAGAGAAACAATTTAAAATGGAGTACCAAAAACAAAAATGCAACAAAAAATGTATTTTTTTTTTTTTAATTTTACTTGATTTTACCCATAAGAAAACCTTGAGGAAACTGAGCTCCATTAACTACTTTTGTAACAGCAGTGGAAACGAAGATTTGTAGAAGCATTTGCTGAGTGATTTATTCTTGATGAATGTAATTAGATTTAAAAAACAGGTATGTTAATCCTTCTGCTTTTGGTGTACTACTGGAGATAGTACCATACCAACATAGAAAAGGGAAGGCATCCTCACAACCCATTAACTTAACCCGATCAGTGCTAACGTTTATGCAAATACAGCTTCATACTGATTATGTGCTGTGATACTGCAGGATTTTACTGCCTTGATGTACAGAGCTCCCTCGTGGTGCGTGTCATTTCTCACGTAACAGTACCAGTGTACATACAACTCAAAGCTAGCAATAGTGAATAGCCTTTTTCCAGTGCAGAACAATCATTTCTACTGCAGTGTAACAAACTTATCATGCAAAATGATTTTTGAAAAGTAACAAAGTGCATACATTCAGGGAGTGAGATTTTTCACTTTTGAAGCATGGCGCATGCTTCAAACTTATTTCTTGTTGTACCTCTGAGCTTTTTGTATGCTCTTCTTTCTCCTTCCTGTCCAGAGTCGATTTATGAGTGTTGTCTGTATCAGACAGGTGACTCTTATGGAATTCTTGCACCTAGAATCCCAATATTGTGCCATGAAACTTTCAAAAGTTAAAAGCTCAAAATAAAACTACTTGCTGTAAGGCAGGACGAACCAGCAGTTCCATTTTTGACATAACGATGAACACAGATTTTATTTTAGGTGTATGACTTTATGAAGTTTTCTATGCCATATTCTTTCTTTTCTATCATTTTAGCCTCCACTCTGGCAGTTGCAACAAAAATCAGTACACTTAGGAAAGAATTAGTCTGGCATTTGTGAACATGCCATGGAAGTGAAAGATGTAAAAAGAAAAACCCAACCATATTCCATTTGCTACTACTTTGCTTAAAAGGACAAAAAGGGCACTAATGGAAAATAAAAGGTATTATTAGATAGATCAGCTGCGAGGACAAAGAAAGGAGATAAACGTAATTGTGTTTTATTCCCCAGGACTAAACACAGAAGGATATACGCAGAGGATAGAAAAATATGGCGAGCTCTTTCCCAAGAGAAAGTGCACGACAGAAACCAGCGAAATAATTGGGAAAGAGAAATACTGGCAACTATTCATGCTGACAACATAAAAACATCAAGTTAAAATCTAGAGAGCTGTGATTTTCGAAATAACCTCATTCTTAGCATCTGCTTGCAAAGAACAGAAAGACTCTGCAGAGAGCAGCCCGGGGCTCGGTGCAGATGCAGCACACACAGGGCAGAGGCATGGCGCAGGGCCGATAGCCTGGACTGGACCAGAGGAACAAGGATAGAGGAACAACCTGCTGAAAGCTGGGGCAATCTGAAAGATGCCACACCAGCAACAAATTACCAGATCCAGGCTAAGGTTACTTGGTCCAGGTTGTACTAAGGTTTTAATGAAAGAATAAAGATCGCAGATAATGCAATCAGAGAGACGTCAGAATACCCTTCAACAGAAGTGAGACTAACTCAGGCACAGGCCCGGCTGTGTGGGGGTGGGACAAAGCCTTGCTGTGCCCCTCACCCAGGTCACCCCTCTGCAGGTCTGGGCTCCCTTGGCCCTGTACGTGGAGAGCTACAAAGCCTGGCTAACGAGTCCTCTCCTGGCAAGACCACAAAACACAGTCTGCCTGAAGCCGTGTGTGAAAACCAGTCATAGTATTTTGCTGACAGCAATTACCAGACTGACCAAAATAAAATGCAGTCATCAATCTAGAAACGTAGAGACTCCCCAGAAGGTGGGATTACCCCACAGAAATGCAGAGCAGAGGTTCTGCCATCCGTTCCCAAATCTGTGCCACTCTCCTGCCACAACAGCAGCTCCCAGGAGGGCCATTTCGGTGACCACAGACCCGAGGGCTGTCCCGTGCAGAGTGCAACGATGAGATGCAAGTCCCACCAGGGGACAGAACTGGTGGAAGGAAAATTGAATGCAGAACTGGGATCTGAAGGTGGGGAATGAAGAAACCCTCAAACACATCTCAGCTGGTACAGCAGCCAGCACACCGTCAGCCATCTCCAGCAGGCATTCCCATGCAGCACAGCTCTATACGAAGACACGAGCTTGCTGATTTGGTGACATAAGTACATGAGGAGCAGACTGGGACAGGGAGTTTTGGGGGCACTATGCAGTGAGGCGTAACAGATCCTGAAAAACCATGGGCAGGTAGGGCTGTTTCTGCTCTATGTTTGTGCTTTGCAGCCCCGTGGACTGGCCAGCAGCAGGAGGAATGCACACACTAACACCCAGACTGCTCCGGTGATCAGAAGTACAGCATCCAAGCATTGACCAGAACTCCCTACAGCCAAAGATACCAAATTCTGTAATGATCTTTGTATTGTGAAAATGTTTTACTTCAAAAGGCCGAGCCTGTTTGCCGACATGGCTGGAATTCTGGAAAGAAGAACTGCAGGTGCCATCCAGCCAGTGCTTAGTCATGAACTGCAGAGGATGGCAGACCTAGTAGCATCTTCCTAAGTTATAAACCACGGTCCTGTTCTGTTCTGTACGTGGTCTTCAGTCTGAGGACAGAAGGCCCAGTGCTGCCCCGAGTTACAGCACCTCAGGCTCTGAATTGCACTGCCTGTGTTCTCCCATCTCAGGAGGAAACCAGCTCTCAGTCCACACGGATAGGCACCCAACAGCAGGCATATCACTGGGGTTGCTGCCAACAAAGAGAGTCTCAAGTCTCTTGGAAAGAAGTCCATGTATGGTCCACGAGGCACAGACCAGGCCCACGTGATGGCACAGAGAGCCATGACACAATGCTGCTCCTCCAGAATCCTCCTGCAGGATGGGTCCCCTCATGCCTCAGACTGAATTTCTGGAAGGAAGGCTTTACCTTGGAGACAGTCCTGAATAATGCCTCTAACATCCAGACTCTTAGACAAGGTCAGGCAGGAGTCAAAGTAACTCAGAATTAACTTTAAGACATTTGACATCCTATTTGGAGAAACATCTCTTGCAAGTCAGACCTCCAGAACAGAACACCATCACCTTCCTTCTGTGACTGGAAGCCACCAAGGTCATAACCTCAATAAAGATGCTCTGTGCTATGGAGAAGCCATATGGCAGAACTCGATAATGAAGTTATTTCTGGCTCCTTGTTAAATATAGGTCATTTTGTTGCAAAGTGCCCATCAAGGCACGGCCTAAAAGCAGACACAAACTGAAAACCTTCAGGATAAATTGCCCTCCCAGTCAAGAGAGATTGTCATTGTGCATCTCAGGGGAAAACAGCTCCCATGACGGATACATCAATGAATGACCTGAAACCAGGCAGCCCAGGGGAAATAAAAGCATGCAAAGTCTTTCTGGAAAGGCAAGATGAGTTTTAGAGACTCTCTAGAAGATCTGACTAAAAACAAAACAGAAAGAACACCCTTCTCTCTCCCACTCCCATCCCCCTAAAACAACGCAAAGCTGAGCAAGTAATGAAGAAGGAAGTTAAAAGGATTGAGGTCTTGTTTTGACTGAAGTGAGATGAAGGTCTCAGCAGACCCAGCACAGCATCTGCAGCAGATTACCCAGAAGAAAACCATCTCTTCTTTCTACACAGTGCTAATAAACCTGCTAGGAATTAACACAAGGGATGGAATGCTGCATGCTGGGTTAGAAAAGAGTTTTTTTTTAAAAAAACAGAAACCTGAGAGTCATGCAGAACTCTTTCCAGTGATTTTCTCAGTCCATTCATATCAAGAATATTAACCGTAAAGATCTTAGCTGCCAATTTTTGGTATTCCTCACTATCACTCATGGAAGGGGTACACGGTGTTATCCCAACCTTCTTTTTGGCTACAAGGCACATCTTTCACAATGAAACACGGGACAATGAACAAGTTTATTTTAAGTGATGATTAATTAAGAAATTGCTTAATATTACTGAAGGTGGAGGGTGATGCAGGGGGATTGAAATGTACTTTGTTATTCATTTCAGATGCTCCCTTTAATTATTTAGAACCAATTTTGTGAAGACACGCGTGTAAATTAATTGCAAGAAAACCCAAGAGAGATCAGAAAAGAAACCAGCTGATCTGGCTTCAGAGGATGAAAAGTGAGCATTGCACCTGAAATTAAATTACCTTGTTATAAGATACTGTCTTCAGTCTAAATCTATCAGAACACACCTGCATTTTCAAACTGTATTTTAACTTGAGGCTTGAGATCCTGTCTCCTAATTATCTGCAAAGCAAATGGAGCTTAATTATGTTTTATTTAATATGTTACAACTGAAATCATGCCAATATTATTCACAAAATCATTCACACATTTTCTACACCTCTTCTTCATCTTTACACGGGATGCCAAAGAGACTAACACATATACACCATCTTGCTTTCCTGCCATGAAAGCTTCCCAGTGATGTTATCTCTCTGAATGACAAGAGCACTATCTTTTTTCCTGTAGCTGATGAGCTATTTTGCTGCTGGTCCTTGTAAAGTATTATGGAAACCAACATCTAGGCAAGGTCTACCATCTCCAGTATTGCAGTAAAGGAAGATGAAAAGCACATTTACATTGACAGGATGGAAATAGTTCATGTGTTCTGTGTTAGAATACAGTTTGTAGACCTGTCCAAGCACCTTATAGTCTATCAGTAAATACTGCCAGAGTGAGAAATTTCCCCCATGTGTAAGCTGAACCTACATAAAGTAAGCTATCTGTATGAAGGCATCGATGAGCAGATGTCCTCTAAGATCAAACTGCAGCTGCTTATGTCAGCTTTGCACAAGTATGTGCAGTATTTTGGAATTATCTTTCATTAAATATATTTAGGTCAGAATAGAAAACTCGTCCCACTTCTGGCCAACATACATGGCTGGACTGTGCAACACACTGATCTATAGCTCCCTGCAGTGAGGAGGTGCTTCTGTTGACTTCATTAACTTTTGACAAGGCTTGTTGGCTATGTATTACATGCAGTGGGATTATAAGAAGCAGAACCTTATGGTACAGCACTGTCAACAGAACAAACTGACTTTTCATTTACATATTGTTGCAGAGATACATTTAAGTCTGAGGTGTAACTCTTAATCAGTTCCATTTTCTCACTAGTAGGCAAGTTGGCCATATCATTAACGTTTAGGAGAGAGCTGGTATATATCAATACAAAAATTCAGATCTAGCTAGATTTAAAATCAAAGCTTCCAGCTGAAAATCTTAGTAGTACTGGGGAAAGAGCAACTCAGTATAAAACTAGGCTTACTTTGCAGAATTAAACTAGAAACTTTCGGCAAGAAGCTCACAGCAGATGCAGCATAGCATTTGAGGGAGTTATACTAAAACCCCGTCTTGAACTCTTGAGAGGAACAACGATCCTTTTACATTACCTCCACTGAAATCTCCTTTGGTGCCATGGGCCACTTGTGCTCATACTTTTCTTTCACAGTTTGTTCAGTGTTGGCGGTTGGTGCTGAGTTCTCAGGCCGTACTCCATGGCTTGTTTTGCCCACCAGATTTTGAACTGATTTTACCATATTCTTTAAATCCTCCGGGTATGGAGTGGGATAACGTTTTAGATTTATTTCAACCTGAACATTCATAAAAAGAATTAAAGCACAAATACAAAATGAAAACAGCATGCAAACTAAAACCATGGTTACAGTACTATGGCTAAGTGCAAATTCCTCAAATTGTTATTAGTCTATTTGAGGTAGCCTGCTACACACAGCTAACCCTCGTGGATTCTTCAGGTCTTGGACCAAACTTGGCCATCAGTTACACTGTGGCAACCTATAATGGAATTTCAGTGACATAAAATAATGGATGGGCATGCTTCCCTGCAAGCCTATCTTTCACCCTGGGAGAGTATAGCAATTTAATTCTGCACTTGGCCTGAGAGTACTAACGTATTATATCACACTTCTCCAAAATGATACTGATGCCAAATGCAGAATTAATTTAGCTATGCTCAGTGTACAGAATTAATCAGAATTATCTATAATAGCTGAGAACAGAATCTGATCTGCTGGGATCTATTCGCTCTTTGAGATGTGTAATGTACATACATACACTCAAGTACGTGAATTCTGCTCCTAAGTATACAGAAATACAGGAAAACAAACTTAAACCACTACAGAAAAGTCAACCTGTGTCACACTGAACAGTACTTTGACTGACAGACCTACAGATCTCCTACAACAATCAACACTTTGAGCTTTCTGTTTTTGTCACTCAGAAGTAAAGAAATATTGTAGTTATCCAAGTCCAAATCAATCACAGCTTGAAGACAGCTCTGCAAAATCTCAGGGTTGAGCAACAGGAGAAGAGGGGCACGACACAGCTCTGTCAGCAAACTGCTCAGAGTGGACAGGGTGCAGGTTACCAGGCCAGGAGTGATCCAAGCAGGAAAGGAGACCTACACGATGCTGGCCTCTCCTTACACCTCCCCATCGTGTTACAGACCTCTTTTGTCTGCTGTACGTCACGCCCCATCACGAGGAGAAATGCTGAGGAATCAAACAAAGCCTGACCTCAGCACGCTGCCCGTGGTGGAGGCTTCCCACCCCTGCTCTGCCCTTCCATAGGCAGGAGCTCTGACCCCAGGCACAGCCCCTGGGACGCAGCAGGTGCTGGTTCTACCTGCCCCTCTCTCAGGGCTGAACTTGGGGTGGGAACGCAACAACTTTGAATTGAATTTCCTTTGGTGAAGGAAAGCGACAGCACCCAGAGCAAGCTGAGCGTGTCAGGATAACTGATCCTGTTTACGAGGCTGTGAAATTTGAAATTAGTCCGTGTTTGCTGTGTGATAAGTAAGCAGAAGCCTTTACAGCAAAGAAGTTTTACCCAATTGCATACATGAGGTCAGCAAAGGGAGCTTGATTTTAATAGGTCACCATACAGTCATTGGATTTTACACCTGTGACAAGTGGGAAAAGGGCAATTTTGGATTCAGATGATTACGGTCTGTCAATGGGGATATTTTAGAAGCAAAACCACGATCGATTTGAAAATAAAGCTATATGAAATACTAGCATATAATTCTGAGCCACAGTAGAATAAACATTACATATAATAGATTCTGACATGACTTTAACATAAAACGTTAAAATGTATGGCTATGATGTCATATGTTAATAAAGAACTTCAACAGAAAAAAAGAAATTAAGTCTGTAAAGCCTTACTAAGGCTGTGGTTGATTTACGGTTGAAAGAAATCATATTCAGATGTGGCCTAATTAGGCAATCGCTTTTTCAGAAAATCCGAGCCATGATTTCAATGTAAAAGCTACAGACAAGCATAGAACTGCAGTCACAGAGCAAATCCTCAGTAAGCACTAGCCAGAGAGAAATTAACTAAAGGACTTCCATGTGAGAGGCAGGTCAGACAGGGATTTCAGTAAGAGCCTGATATCGCTGGGCGTATTACACCATAAAAATACTGGCAGCTGTGCTGGGTGCTGTGCACTAGAAAGCAGATAATTTCATTGCTGAGTTAGAAATATTGCTACGGAGGAAACTGTCAATGCAACTCTCGTATCTTTTAATGCTACACCAAAATAGAGTGACCCCGAACAGAGAATTTTCGAAGTTCAAAATTCGTTATAGAAGAATTTGTTGAATAATTTAGGTCTTCAGATCGGTGTTATATAGCTTGGATGGGAAGTCAGTTTTCAATACGAAATATATAACATGAAAACTAGGCGTGCTTTTATAAAGTGCAAACAATGTTTGTGGTAACCACCCACTGCTAATGTGGGATAACCTTCAAATTCATCCCACAGAGGTCCCTGGTAGTTATGGATGTCTGGTGTACACACAGAGAGATGGAAAAGAGGAGAAATGCTCTCTTCAGGATGCACCGATGGAAGGACATACCTGATCAGCTCCTAACTCCTTGCTTAGCTTTTCGTTTAATAATTCTTCTTTAGGCAATAACTAAGGTGTCAACTCCAAAACGTGATGTTTTGGTCTGATGAAGAGATACCAGGATCATTGTGGAGGAGAGCACTGGGTTGGAGCAGCTGCCCTGCAGAGAAGGGCTGAGGGAGGTGGGCTGAGAGGAGAACGCTCCGGGGAGACCCCACTGCAGCCTGCCTGGGCCTCTGAGGCTGCAGGAAAGCTGGGGGTCTCTCATCAGAGAATGTTAGCTAAAGACAGGGGGTAATGGCTTTTAACTGGAAGAGGGGAGATTTGGAGGAAAGTCTTCCCCATGAGGGCAGGGAGCCCCAGCACTGCTGCCCAGGGCTGTGGGTGCCCCATCCGTGGGGGTGCCCGAGGCTGTGGGTGGGCCCTGGGCAGCCTGAGCTGCTGGGAAATGTTCCCTACTTGGAACTCGGGTGGTCTTTAAGGTTCCTTCCAACCAAACCATTCTATAATTTTATGGTTCTATGATTATATATGGAAATTGAGGAATCGTGTGCAGAAATAAGACTCACACAGATCATTGGTTTACATTCTCTCCACAGGTGGGAGTGAAAACAGGTAAGAAAGAACTCCAGAAAATATATTTTAGTGTTGGGCTCTTCCCCTACAGTGGCCCAAAGGGTAAATGCTGCCTTGGCCTTCAGCTGCCAAGCCAAACATCAGGGACAGCAGCAGCCCTGCAGGCTGTGACTCACCCACATGGCAAAGCCCCTCATCCCAGCAGGAAGGACAGGACAGGACGGGCTGCCCTCAGCTCACCCCCAGGCATAGGATGGGCTGTGTGTCCAGGGCTGCTTCTGGGACATCCCAAGATGTGGCACTGGGCTCAGTGGCATTTGCCTCCCCAGTTCCCATACAGCAGATGGCAGCACTCAAACTCGACTATCTGAACAGCATGAGCTGAATGAGGGATTTCATTTGTCTACAGAAATAGCTTGCTCAAAGGAAGCATTTGTTTCAGTCATCCACAGAGTTCTGAAATATATTAAAACCAAAATGGCTACGCAATGTATTTCTTATATTACATTTCAATACCAAAAACAATGCTCGCAAATTAAAGGTAATACAATTAAATCCATCTACAATCTTAGAAATTATCTATTTCTCTGTTCACACTTTTGCACACCTGGACATGTTACTCACACTCAAAGTTATAACAAGAAGGAGTGGAACAATGTGAAACTCCCAGACACTCTGCTTTCCACACATTAGCTATAAATCTGCAGTTCATAGGGGGTAAAGCTTCAGTTTAATCTGTTTATTGTGAGTCAGATTGCTTTTTTAATTCATTTTCTCTTTTGCTAAAATACTAAAGCAGTAGTATATATAACAATTATATTTGGTTGCAAGGGTTAAGTAAAATCTCCTGATAAGGAAAAATATTTAAACAAAAAATCAATTTTCCCAAGAAGATCTAAATGGGATATTAGATATTTATTATTAACAGCTCTCATCAGCTTTCATCTTGAGAGGAATACCGAATCCCCACGGGATCTAAACAGTTCTAAAGAATTATGAGGCTGGAGAGTAATCCCAAGTCCCCAGTGTTCTGTGTTCATTTTGTCTTAGTGATGAAATGAGTGCCCCATTAGGTACCCAACACTCAGCCTATGGGTCTGGACTGATTTCTGACATCCCAGTCATTCCGTGTGGAAAATAACCACAAACTTCCAGTTCTGTGCAACTCAGAGACAACAGGGATGCTTATGAAATGTGGCCAAGTATTTTCCCATTATTCAGAACAGAGAAATAGTTCAATTCAGCATCTGTATATTGGACTCTGTCTCTAATATGTGAATGCAAAAATAAAACAAAAAAACCCATACCTTAACTTTCCCTGGATTTTCCTCCTCTTCCTTTTTTTCTTCAAATTCAAAGGCAACAGTCATACGTTGCTGTCTCTGCTCCTCCCACAAAGTAGGGTTGAAACTATCACTGTCTGACTGGAAATCTACAGTTAAATTGCAAACAGCAATGCAACAGAACAAGAGATTAATGCCCTCAGCAAAAGACTGCAAATCATCCAAAAAGAGAAGCTCTTGGGTGATCCTGTAACGTTGGGTCATTGTCTCAAAAACTGTTGAGGGGGCAATGGAAGTCATAACTAAAAACACCATTAATAAATAAATGTGAATGCTCAGATCACAAAGAGAACGGTGGAGAGCAAGAGGGCTTTGAGGCACAGCTGGAGGAGGAGCATGGAGGCTCTCTACTGGGATGCACAGGCTTCAGAGCCAAGCCCTGCTTTTGTCAGGCTCACAGCTCTGCTCCCTGTGACCCTTCACATGCGTCTTACGCTGTGTTGCACTTTTGTTATGCTCCTTTTTTACTTCTTTTATCATTTTTAATAAACATTAACGGTACTGGATATTTTATAAGCAGCCCAAGACAATTCCTGTTCTGTCAGTGCAGCACAGGCAGGCTGGCAGGTCGGATGCCCTTGGGCTCCAGGAGGTGCCCCCACTCCTCTCTGAGAGCAATGGACTGGAAGCAGGAGCCTTTGGTGCATGGCAGCACACGGGCTGCTCTGTGCACACCGCTGGCTTCAGGAGGCACAGACTCTGCTGCACAGAGCCACGCTGAGCCCACAGACCCCACAGCCTGCTGCTGCCTCCGGGGGGAATGCTGATGGTGTTTTACCTTCATCACTGCGGGGTTGCTGGGGAAACATGTAGTTAGTCAAAACTCTCTGCTTCGTTTCCGGGTGAGCCTCAGTTTGCAGGGGGATGAGAGCCTTGGACTGTGTAGGAAAGGCAAAACAAAGAGCTGGTCACTGAGAGCACGTCTGTTAGCCAGGATGGAGTTTTAGCAGGCAACAAACTGAAAATACAGGAATAACCAAAATTCTGAATGGAAAGAACCCTCTCCATGGGACAAAGCCAACGGTGTTTGGTGGCACTTCTTCCTCTCCTATTCCTCAGTCTGCCTGTAACTCCCACCAGGATCACCATACGAAGTCTAACACCAGAAATACTGGCTGTGTGCTTTAAGCCAGGATCCACAAGGAGTGGGTCCTGTAACTCTGAGGGTGCTCCTGGTGCCCAGCTGCATGGAGGCACCACTGAGTTCTACTCAACTGGCTATTGTTATTGCTTTGCTGTAGTGTAGCACCCAGCACTATCACAGTTCATGGATTAGAAGGTGATCTAAACCTTATCACTGAAGTCAAAATGCTGAAAAAACATTGACTGTTTATTAGGAAGTCTATGTTTCGTGGATGGGTAGGGGCATTTTTTATAGAAATAAGAGTTAGAATCCTAATTTAGTGCTTGCAAATTTATTCATCCCTGTGTATTAACCCTCTCAGACAGTCTCCCCTCCCTTCAGCTTGAAGACTTTTGCTTAGCCATACAAGTGAAAACTAAATTGAAGGGGAAATGCAACAAAGCACTGATGCAGATGCCCCTTTGCTTTGTCTCAGTGGATGGCACGCTGCAGGCAGCAGCAGGCAGGTCTGTCCCCAGGCAGCACAGCACTGCCCTGGCTCCTGTGGCTGCCTCATACAGATATGGGAGGGACTCATTTCCAGCAGCATCATTATCCTCCTCAGCTTCAGTTAGGGAGGTGTAATGGTTGATGTTGGGCTTTATTGTAGGGTGGGAAAGATGACACTACGGGAACTTCTTGCAATTATTAAGTTCAATATACCGAGCAGGTTTTGTCTAACATTCTACTAATTGAATTTGTCTCCACTTAATCACATTCTGGAACTGCAAAATTATCCTATCCACCAATACTGCAAGGACTGATGGGGACTTATTCTAGTGCTCAGATGCTGGGTAACTGTTACCTAAGGAATATATGGTAATGCCATGTGAACTGAGCTCCTTGGAACGAAGGAAAGCATACCTAAAATTAAGAGGAACTTAAATGAGAATTTTCTCTAAAACAAGACTGAGAGTTCTTGTGCATCTTCAGTATATTTAAACTCCCACTGGCTTCACTGGAGTTTGAAATATACAGGAAGGGAAGCACGGACAGGAAAAGGCAGAAGACAAAAATGGAGGGGTAGAGACAGAATAAGGAATGGGACAAACTAAGAGCAAGGCTGAGAACAAAGCCTCGCCTCTCGGATTTCTGTTTACAGAATATTCTCTTGATAATTCTGATCACTGCTTACTACTTTTGTCGGGGTACAGAAGGCTAATTAGCAGCAAGCAATAAGCCCAGCAATGGCAAATTTACCCAGATAATGAATGTCAGCCAGGACTGCCTACAGCTTGGTAGGAAAGTAGCAGCTGGGCTGGGACTAACCTCTTCTAAAGCTGTGCTGCAGTGACTTATGACACTACAGACCTCATTCATGGCCCCTGTACCTTACTAAAGAAATTATGAACACTGGAAGCCGTTACCTGGTTGTCAGAAAGCCACAGAGCTGCAAGTTCTTTGAGTTTAGTAAAAGTGAATGGTAAGTTCTTCAGCCTGTAAACGATAAGGGAACAGCATGAGTCCCTCACTGCTACATAATTCCTTCGATACACAGCATGACTGGCTTGATCAGACTAAAAGTGCTATCATTTCTTATCTTTGTTTTCTCTCACATTTTATTAAAGTACAGTATCTTACTAAGGGGATTCCCCTTTAAGTACTTCCACATTAGGAGAGATATTTGTACCCTATAACACAGAAAAGATTTGGTCCCAGCAGGACATACAGCAAAGTCCTACCAGCTTTCAGGTGACATAAACCCTCTGACTTCCCAGTTGCATTTTGGAACACAAATTACTCGAGGATAACGGGAAATTCATTTTTGCAGAAATGTCAGGTATAAAATCAAAATAAGATAAATTCACAGTGAACCTAAATGACAAAATTAAACAAAACAGTAAAAAAAAAAAAAAAAAAAAAAAAAGCCTTTTCATGATATATGTGAATACATTTCCTAAACCAATCTGCACGTGGGAGCAGGGAAGAGGTGATGAGATGGTCGTGGGAGCTCCAGCCACGCTTTCACAGGAAGCACCTTGTTCTGAACACGGTATTTTCTCTTTGCAGCCCATCTCAAAGCAGAGAGCAGCCCTGGTCACACACTGCTGCTCCTCATCTCTGCGTTACAGAGGGCTGCCAAAAGAAACAGACTGCCCAAAGGAAGGACTGCAAAACATTTCTTGTGATTAAACCACAAAAAGGAGGTGTAAAATCCCTTTCCTGAGAGGTGGGCAAACTGATAGCACAGGGAGAAAGAGTGACAAACTTCCAGCAAAGATGAGTAACCGCCAGCAGAACCCTCTGCCCCTCTACCAGCAAATAGCCAGAAATATCCTACAGTCATGAAGACGGTGATTTTAATACGAATATCTTATCCTAAAGGCGACTTACCTACAAGTGAAATAAATTGACATGAATATGTATATACTCAGTGTGCTATGAAATACCTGTGTAGATCAGGGTGTTTTAACACGTGCTTGCATGTTTAAACCAATAATTAACACCATGAGAGCCTCTAAACCTCCCGAGATTTGGTTTTCATTATCTTAAAATGCATACATCTTCTCTGGAACAGCGCAGACTGAGATGTTCTTTATGCACAGAGGTGACAAGATTAAGCTTTAATAGTTAACATAACGGTGCTTAAATCGTGGTTACCTGGACATTTTACTCAGATCTTTTTTTCTATATAAAAAGACAAGAAGTGGCTTCTCAAGTGACACCCTTATTGCTCTGCCTTCGGGATGCAGTGTCTGCAGAGATCACTGCTGCTGCTCCCAGCTCACTCCAGCTGAGTGATGGGGATCAGAGGGAGAACACATCTGGTTAGCAGAAATGATGTGTGGCAAGAAAGTCCCCGGGCTGGTTTTCCATTTCCAGAGCTCTTCGTCTGTGATGCCCAGAAGCCCCGACACCTGGCTTTAAGTGTCTGAAGAGGATTGATTCTCAGGTGCCGTTAATGAGAAAAGATGTCAAATTACAGATCAGTGAATGGAGGCACCCAAAATCAGTGCTGATTTTTGACAATCTGCCATCAAAATGAGACCCAGCCTCTTTTTCTGACTGCAACTTTTTTTCCCACATTTAAATTCATGACTGCTTTTCGAACTGTGTGAAGCTCATGAACATTTCCCCTCCGTCTGCAGTAACAACACGGCTGCATCTCTCTGACTTTCACAAACAACAGAATTACCAAGAGAGGAGGTTTTGTATTTTACACACTTCAGAACAGGGCCTGCTGTACTTGCTGCTTACACTGGATTCGTTTAACCACCAAAGGTAAATACATAACTGTTCATCAGCCAAAATGAGGTCGTACCGCAGCTACGAAGCACCTCCAATGTTATGCACAGATGTAGCTCTGTCTGCTTTACATTTACTGTACATTTACTTATGTTTACTTTCCAGATTGTGGGCCAGACCCTATTTGGTCTGCATCAGCATAATTCCACTGGTTCCAAAGAACCAAATCACACCACCTCGGTTAAAGATTTGGCTTTCTCCTCTGCCTTTCAGTAGCACAGACAATGTGATTGGTTTGCTCTGCTTCCATGCACCTAACATGTGGCTGCAATCAGACAGTAGTACAGAGACATGGGAAGTTTACGACTGTGCTGCTCAACAAAGCTTTTCTTTTGTACTAAATACTGAAAGATCTCACTAGATAGCATGGAAAACTACACACACAGTCAGTTTTGTAAATCCAAGAAAATATATCCACACTTCTAGATTAAACTTTAATGAGTGCATAGATAATTCATTGAGAAGATGGTCAAATTAATTAACTTGCAATTAAGGAGCAAATTACGCTGTACCAAAAGAATCTTTTCTTACTATGGAGCAAACAACGCCCTGCTGGAAGCTGCTGCTGGGGCAGAGCAACCACCATGCAGCAGCTGGGGCTGGGGGCGGCCTGGGGGCAGCCAGGGGATGCAGGCAGGGACACCTCCAGCCCTTTGGAACACACACACTGGGTCTAACACTCGCTGCACACACTTTCTTCCACAAACAGGTTTCGTTTCTCTGCAATTTTTAAATCACTATTAACTTCAGTTTGGAATCTTTTAAACTGAATTGTAGGAGGAGCTAGATGTGATAACAAAATAATCTCTCAGTGTTACAGATATTTTTTGTATTTATATTAGGTTAAAATGCATATAAAACCATGCTAAAGCTTAAAGGTTACTAGCAGAAATATTTCTTATAAGCTAAGCTCTGAAGCACCAGCTGATTTTTCAGCAAAACAACTCCGACCTTCAACAGCCACTAAAGCACGAGAGGCACACGTCCTTCTCACAGTGCTTAATTTTCACAAAGACAACGTTTGCTTATGAGAAAAAAGAATTTTCCCTTGATGTCCCCGAGGTGAATAAAAACAAACTAAAGCAAAATGTGACTTTTTGAAGGGACAGCCCTGAGCACCAAGCTATTGGCACCGTGTGACCCCCAGCCTCAAGGAAGTGCTGTATGGGTGTTATGGCATGCTGGAACGAGGACACGGTAATTCAGAGTAGCCTGGTCAGTTTGGTTAAACAGGGACAGCTCTCCATGGTCATGCTCAGCAAATGGATAACAACAGGGTTTTCAGAGTGTGAAAGTTTAAAGGAACATAATTCATATCAACTCTTTCATTTGCTGTTCACAAAAACACTGGAAGATGTTAATGGCCAGAAGCAATTACTCTTTGTCAATAAGCAACGTCGTACAAATAACCGAACAGAAAAAGATACACCAAGGAACAGTCCTACATTTTGGAACGCATTGCAATCTTATGCTGGTTTCATCTAACTTCTGTTCCTGAGATTCAGAGTAGCAGTCAAGCTCTGACTCCAGGACAGAAGCACAAACAATGCAAATACAGCAAGGTGATGACTGGTTAAGCTCTTCTGTAAGAACAATCTAAAACTAGAAGAAAGGTTACTTACCAGTAACCGATGCTCTTTGAGAAGTGTAGCCCAAATGTACATTCTAACAATTCTACCTCTCAATCACAGGACTCATACCTGGAAGGACTCTGAGGAGAGAGGAGAAGCAGATGGAAGACAAATGTATCTGTGGACTACACATGGTGAAGAACACCGGTTACTGGTAAGACATCTTTTTTTCTCTGAATGAATCCCACGTGCACTCTTAGCAGTGAGTGAATCCAAGCAGCTCCCCCCAGGGACTCGCTACATGGTGGAGGTCTCTGTATCTTTCATGCATCAGTAACTGCACAACTACATTATCGGATGCTGCATTGGCTCTTGAAGCACCAGAGACGCCTGGCAAAGGCAAGGATGAATCCCCAGGTAGTTGCACTGCAGGTAACTGGAATCAAAACTCTCCTGAATGCTCAGGGTGAAGCCAGCTATGCTTCAGTCAGATGCACACTAACCCTCATTAGACTCCACCTTAGCAATGTGATAGCAAGTCGGGGTTCAGCCCACCATTGCCTTTTATTGTGTAGTAACAACAAAATGCTGCATTTCCCAGAGATGAAGAGTCTGTGAAAGGGATGAAAAGGTTTGGACCTGTAAAGATAAAAGGACAGAGGGCTCCCAGCTACAGAGATGAGAAGGATAGATAGAGTCTTAGTGTGTAAGGCATGGGAAAGAAAAGCTGGAGTGTAATTATCTGGTTGAAATTGAGTTATAATATGAATACCTGTAGAAAATCCTGAATCTAAAAGATAGCTTCTGGTCAATTAAAATGAGCAAGGTCCATCTTAAAACACTGAGGGCCTTCAGAATACTAAACAAGAGTGAAAACCTGTAGTAGCTGAAACCATAGTATTAAAAAGGCTAGGGAGGGACTCCAAACACTGATCCACCTTTGAGCAAAATATATCAGCTCACAAAAAAATTAAGGCTCACTTTAGCCTAAGTGTATTGTTTGTCATGTTTGCCTCTTTTCTGAAAGATATCCAATGAGAACTTAATGGAAAAATCTCCTACACATGAAATGTGAAGGTATTTTATATTCATAAGCAGACGAGCTCCAGGCAGTGCAAAGGATGGGGAGCTTTTTTCCTCATCATGTGCTACTTCACTGCTGAATTGTCCATCATACCTTGTATGCATGACCATTTGGAGAGCAGGCTGTCAATGTTCCAAGCACTTTGGAAAGTTCAAAGCCACCAGTACCTCTGCATTCTGCATGCCTGGAGCCAGACTGCACTCCTCATGTCATGAAGAATGTATCCAGATAGAACACTTTTTGTGGAAAAATGGCATCTCACAAGAAACACTCAAGTAGTCCAGCTACTAGCAGAGAAAGTCACTGGGATAAAGGTAATGAGCTAAGAGGCAACTGGACATGCAAGTTCAACCGCTGCTGTAGACACTGTAGGTAAAATTTGGCATGTGACAAGATAGGAGGAGATGGCTCTGAGCTATTCGCTAGGATGAATCTGCAGTGGGCAGACCCCCAGTGAAAGATTGCATCCCCTTTGTAAAACTGTATATCCGTGACAATCCTCAAACATCCAGCATGGGCTGACAGTCTCAGCAACAGAATCTGTTCCCTCTGAAATTAACATGCAAAGCTGCATGAGCAGCCTAACAGAACGGACATGAAATCCTCTCTAGTGTCAGGAGAAAGAAAGTCACTGACAGACAAATTCTAAAAGAATCTATGATCATATGCACAGTCTATCCCCATTTATTGTTAGTACAAGGAGTGACTGCCAATCCTCAGAAGGTTTGGGTAAAAATTAGATGTCTCATGCAAAAAATTCTGTCAGAGCAGTATTTAGTGTGAATGGGTCTTCCTTAGCAGCAGAGCCTGCAGAGTCCAGGGCTCAGCAGGTCTCAGAACAGGCTGCCAGGGAGAAGCCTGACCCCTGACCCAGGAGCTCCATGCCATAGTGTGAAGCAAGTGCAGAGGCACCTTGGATCTAGAATTGTCTTTCTGCTCTGCTTGCACGTCTGTGTCTCTCCTTCCGATGGCTCAAAGGGAAAGAGCTGATGTGCTCTACTTTCTCTGTCATATCTGAAGAAGGAAGAGCAGAAGGGCAAAAGTATTGTGATAACATGGAAAAGTTCCTAACCACACAAGCAGAGCCCAAGTACAGTCCTTATTAGCATGTATACGTGGACTCATTCAAAGAAGGAATGGATACTGCCTTACTGCTAACATACATATGAAAATGGGAAAATGGAGAAGACCAAATAAATAAATAAGGATCCGGCATTAAGATTGTATCTGAGCTCTGTCCAAACTCTTTGGTGCTGAAACTTTGAAACATGTGTTTCACTAAGGTAGGAAGTTCCACAAAAAAAACCAAAAGAAATCAGCATAGTCACAGTGTCTCAGCAGGGCAACAATCAACCTCAGATGGAACTGATGTCAACAAAGTAGGAAAAATAATCCCCCAGGCCCCTCAGGAGAAGTCTGTGAGATAATTCAACCATTCCTACCTCTTCTAGTTTAGATCACTCTCCAGCTAGCTCTCTGATGGACGCAACTCACTGCACAGCTTTTCAGGTTGAGTTGAGAGAACAGCTTCCAACCCCAGCGAGGAAAGGCTGTCTTCTCCTGCCCTCTCCTCCTTCCTGCCTTGGTGCACAGCCACTGTGTACCTTCAACTGCCTTTGGTGTTTGCCAGACGCCACTGGGAGCAAACTGAATATGTGGGGAAAGCCAGAATGTGACCACAACAACAAGATCGATCACTTCTAGAACTTTTAGGGAGTCAGGCCATCCCAGCCACTTCTCTGAATAGCTCTGAGAAAGCACAAGGAGATGCAGGGCTATTAGCCAGCAAGAAAGGGGAGTGGGAAGGACAGTGACCACCACGTCCCAGCCTAAGGAACACCATGAGATGCTAGTCTCAGTGTTTACTTCACAATGGAAATCCCACTGCTTTCCTATCTCTGGGCAGCCAGAGAAAAAGGCAGGTGGGCAGGAGTGCTGCTTTCATGGCAGCCAGCTGTCAGGTCAGCTTGCTCAGGAAACCTGGCATACTCCTACACCTCCACTGACTTCTCCCAGCAGCAAGCCACCCCCTCCCTGTCACCCCAGTAACAGCACTCAGAAAGCAGTAATTACAGATGTAGTCATAGGTTGAAATCTGCAGCTGACTCAGCAAAAAAAAAAAGAAAGAAAGAAGCAAAGAAAAGAAGGAAAAAAAAAAAGAGTAGTTTTCTTCTTCCTCAACGCGCATTCATGGCATAATAACAGGTCTGAAAAAAAGGCCCGAGTGATCCTGCTTAGACTGGTTTGATGTGCCAGGGAAGGTACTACAGCTGTAGTTCCCTGGCATCTCCAGAGCACACTGAGGTGCCCTCACAGCCTTGGTGCCCCTACAGCTGGCTGTGTGGAGTAAGGTGGGGCTGCCACTGGAAGCACCCACCTGAAAACTCAGCACGTTTCTGACAGGTTGCTTTCACCTGCGTCCCTATGCATTCAGGAATCCCAACTGCCTGGACAAAACTGAGCTAGGACAGGACAGGGCAGATGGATGCAGAACAGTGTGGGGAAGCTGACTGCTGTGCTGGAAAGAATGCTGCAAAGAGAGAATTCAAAATGTGCCTGAAACACAGCTTCAGGCTGCAGGAGCACAGGTAGGAGCACAAACCCCCAGCACTGCAGTGTGCTGATGGGACAGTGCACCCGTGTCCCTGGGAAAGCACTGGGACCTGAAACCCAAGGTCAAGAAGATCTAAGATCTGATTCTGGGACTCAGGCAGTTTCCATGAACCTGGAGTTCAGTTTAGCTTTACTTACTGGTCTGTACATAATGTATTTTATGATACACAATTGCAGTGAGGAAAATGATCTAATGGAATTAAGTAAACAATTTTGAATAGATGTATTACAAGGATTTCAACATTATTTGATTTTATACTTTCTGGTCAGCCTTAATTTAACAACAAGATTGCTGACAGTAAATTAGACCAGGGGCACAAAGTGCTTCCCCAGATATTTACTGGATACGAGTGATAATTGGTTGAAACAGAAAAGCGTTCACACACTGACTATTAACATATTCTTGGAGCGCGTGTACCTGGAAACTCCATGGAAAAGTCATTGCTGGTAGTAGTGGGAGCACAGGATGGAGACCAAGGAAGTCTCACAGTAAGCACTGCATTTCTCAGAACAGTCATGTGCATGAGAACAGAGAACCTGGTGGGGTTCTGCTGGTTTTTGACAGGACCCTTGCTCCACTGAAGGAAGCAGAACATTTTCTTTTGATTTCGGTAGAGTTGGGATGGTATTTCATGTGCTTGCATATAATGATCTCATACAGCAGCTTGTCACAATTTTCTTATCAGGGCACAACACTAAATTATAAAACTGTATCCAGTTTTAAAGCCAAATATCTCACTTTCACATGGAAACAGCAGCAGACAAAATAAGCAAGCAGCATTTCATCTCCAATAGAGCACTGAGACTCAGATCCTTGCCCCATTCCAACTTTGCTTTGGTTGCCAGTAGAATTAAAACCAAACCATGAAGATTAATCAAGATATTTATCCCTATAGCTTAAATATTTAGAGTATTTATAAATACAATTTTATATGTTTTGTATACCTCTATATATCTTATATAAATATAATTTAACAAATACCTAAAAAGAAATAGCTATTTTTTTAAAACACATTCTTACAACGCGAGTTAGGAACGTGATCTGAACCATACCTGTTATCACTCAGGTTTAACACTCTCAGCTTCTGCATCTGACCTATTTCATCTGGAAGGAATTCCAGTTTGTTGGAGCGCAGAGACATCACGGTTACATTTTTACAGCTCCCAATCTGTGAGAATGAAAAAACAAAAAGCAAAGATATAATAATACTCACTTTGAAAAACATTATTATCACTCACTTAACATCAGAAGGTGGCCAAATTATCTTTTTTTTTTCCCTATAAATAACAAAGAACAGAAAACACAGACTCTAAAGTCAGAAAACACTGTCTTTTGCCAGAAACATCAGGGAAATGCACTACGCTACCTGCACTGCTGCTTCTGAGCAATGCTCTCCCTTTTGCATAAAAATCAAATTACTAATTTGATTTCTACTACTTTACTGCTTTTGCAGTAGATTAGTTGCTTTTATGGACTCAACAGGGATGAAATCAGAGACCTATCACAAAACACTTTTATATCATTTGAAAAGAGAATCAGCTTCTCACTTCTCTGGGCAGCTCAGGAAGGAAATTCTCATCCACAGCCAACGTCCTCAGGTTGTGAAGGTAACCGATGGTAGAAGGTAACGACTCCAACTCATTACAGCTGCAGTCAAATTCTTCTAATAAAGATAAACTGAAATTGTAAATGCACTTGTTAGATGCTGTGTGAGGGTTAAGTAACAAAAACTTGCCATCTAAAACCAATTCTGCAGCCATTGTGCCCTGAAGATGGATTTATTACAGATTTCCCTAGAAGTCTACAATAACAACATTAATGTTGTGCTGCTCATTCAAATCATGCAATTAAAGTTTTGTGACTCATTGAGAATACCATCATTCCTCACTTCCACTGCCCTTTTTATTTTTTGCTCCATGCGTGCTATGATTTTTCTCTCAGGTGCTCATACCAAATACGTGCATGAGAGAGGGAAGTCCAACTCGAAAGCTTGTTCAATTAAAGATGCGTACGTTCTTTCTTTTACTGATGATAACACAACCAGAAAAGCTCAAGAATTGAAAAGCTAATTTTGGACAACTGTTTCTAATGGAAACTGGAAGCTCTCATCTACTGAACTGTAATGGTGCAAGTTCCCATGACAGCAAAGAGTGACTTGACTTTATTTGAAAGATATTGTCTGGCACAGACGTTCTCAGCTTCTGTTCTTCCTGGTGACATCATCAGTAGACAAATGAAGATGGCCACAACAAATCAACAAAGTCTTCACGAAAGTGTGCTGTGTCTGCAGCCACCATTGCAAAGCATTTAGTTCAGAAAGTGATTTACCATTCACCATGGCTTGTGGGCGAATGCTATGCTGAGAATAACTGCTATAATTCCAATCATGCTAATTTAGCTGAAATTTCATTAGCTTTAATGTATTAGCTTTAATGTCTTCTTGGGCTTGAAATCTATAGAGAATGATCTGAATTCAGAAGAACAGACAAAAATCAGTTGCATGGGCTGCAACCTTTATACCCAGAAAGCAGAAGCAGGAGCACTCAATCAGGTCCTGAGGATACAGCCTCCTGCCCCAGGTCCAATTCGTAAAGACCATTATGTAAATCCTCTGATACTACCTAGCAAGGGAAAGATAAATATACGCTTAAGTGTTTTACTAAGCTGAGTCTGCTGAGCATCTTGCAGGTCCAACTCCTGCTCCAAACATGCCTGCCAAAAATGAGGGTGGCAGTTCACTGCTAACAACGCTGACTCAGGCAGTGCTGAAATGCTCCGTGGCTCATCAGGAAATTGGTCCCTGGAGGGAGAATTCCCTCCTCCACATTGCTAATCTTTGTGTGAGAATAATACACTCTGCAGTGGTACCGTGCCTATCATTTAGGAGAAAGAGGCCCAGTAGGAAACCATCCAAGCGGTGAGTCAGAGAAAGGAAGTTCATTTTGATGTGGGAGACACTGTCCTCATTAAGTGAGGAAAAGTACTACGTTTAAAAATAAAGTGCTAATATTGGGTGATTAACCTGCTGTTCTGCAGTCACACCTTTTAGAGCAGCAGTACACATCTCTTACAACACAACCGTGGATCCTCGACAAATAATACTGAACAGATATCAAGCAAAAAAAAAAAAAAAAAAAAAAAAAAAAAAAAGAGGGAATTCCCTTCAACCTCAACAATTCAATCCATAAGAAAGCTTTTAAAAATGACTCCCAAAATTGCTAAAGGTAACGATGGGCACAGCATCAACCTTCCTGCACAGTGCCCAACTCAGGAGCTCTCACTGTCACAAGCGATTGCTGCACAACCAGATTTCCATTTTATCACTCATGCAGCCAACTTTTAATGCACACCATTGATATCACATCAATATAAAGCACTGCAAGAAGTACGTCACAGGAAACCAAACCTCAGGTTTCAGTGTCCACAATTTTCTCCGATGCTACATAAGCAACAAAATTATCACTGAGAAAACCCTATAAAATGGGTTCAGGACTGGAACAGCACTGGCTATGGAGGCTGGAGATTTTCCACTCTAGAGATCTCACTGTACAATTCTCTGCTAGGAAGGGATGTGTGTCGTGTGAAACTGTAAATCAAATCAAAGCACCTGCTTCCAGGAATGGCAGAATAATCATACTCCAAAGCAAGGCAGCTGGTTCTTTGTACTGCTTTGGGGACAGGCCTGGTCCTGCTCTGAGTTTTACAGTAAGCTGTGGCTTTCAGGCAGGCAATACAGCGAGGCAGCAGAAGGAAGCTCTGCAGCACAACAGGGAATTTTGCACCAAAGATCATGCAATATCTGATCAAATTTCAGCAAATCAGTGCTTTTATGCTATTTGCACATTTTTTTAATCTATACACCCACGAAATTGTCATGGCTTTTTCATTTATGCTCCTTCAATATTTTAAGGCACCTTAATACGTATGCGGTATACAGCCATCTTCTTTCCAACATCAGTCCCAGCTGTTGCTATGGAAACTGCCATTCCCCCCCAGTTCTTATCTTTCTTCTACTTTTGTTGCTCTAATCATCCAAACTGCAAGTGATTCACACCAAAAATACCGTTTCATCTTTTGTCTTGAAAAACATGGTACATTTCACCTTCCTATCGCTTGTGCCAGTGGAAGTCCAGAGAAGCTGCTCCACACGTCCGTGTGACAAGCTGTGTATTTTGGGATTATTCTGTAATTCAGTGCATCTTCTTTGTCTTACTTTTGATTTCGGAAAAAAGCAAGCTGAAGGGAAAAGATTTCTCTTGATACTCACTTTCCAATTGCATTGGGCAAAATGGTGAGCTGATTGTCATCAACTTTTAACGTGGTGAGCCTCTTCAGCAGCCCTGCAGAACAGGAAAGGAAGGAGGGAAGAAAAATATTCCACATTCATCTTTACTTTCTGTAATCTCCAGTATTCTCAATTAAACAATAACCAAACACATTCTTGTCCCATTGAAAATATTCCCCATTACAATGCAGCACAGATTAAACGTTGAGCTGAAATGCAACGAGTACAATATTAAATATATTCTGAAGTGCAGAATGTGGAGAGGAATAAGAAGGAATAGTATCCTGTTGCCCTGATTAAAAGGTGCTCAGGTCCCACAAGGTCTCCAGCAAAACTATCTAAAGTAAATGCTACACTTAGAATGCTTCACAATACGTAGGAACAGACAACTGAATCAGTCCCGAAGGCATTTGTGCACACAGCTAATTCTTTTTGTTAAGAGAACTGCTAGATATTGAAGTGTCAGCAGATGCATTACTGGGTAACATTTATCCAGGGAACAACACTTCTGCTTTACACTTAAAACAGGGAGATCAATACAACAGTAAAGACAGAAAGGATAGGAAAATCACTGCATCACAGTGCTGAAACTGAGCTTGATACAGTCAGAAAATAAGATTCCCACCTTCTGGAAGTTACTGACATTTCAAAGTCTGCTTTTGCCCTGAAGGAGTTTGGTGAAAACACCAAAATAGCTGCTTCTTTTTTTTTTTTTTTTAAACAAACATTTGTAATTAGCATTGGGTATAATATAAATTGACTACTTACACAGAGATAATTATTAAGTGGAATGCACCATAGTCTGAAAGCTGAAGCAGATGAAAAGTACACTTCAAAGGGATATCAGAAGCATTACTCACTTCTACCACACTACGTTTCTGTTGAAAAGCCAACATGTTCCAACAAACATCTAGGCTTCAACAATACTCCCTTTTAAGAGGAAAAATTTCTATCACACAGAACTGCAGCAAGCTGTCACCTGAAAATGCAGTACTGAAATGATTCCTTCTGCTTTGCTTCAGTTACACCTATTATGATTCAGTAATAGGAACTTGGAAATGAGCACTGAGTGCACAATTCACAATGTCAGCATCCTCCTGTACCAGAGTTATGTAACCTTGAAAAATCAATCTGCATATGCACATCAGAAAACTGCATTGAGAATAAACTGCAAGGCTGATGGCGAGATATCACATTAGAGCAAAATGGGAAACAGCTGTAAAAGTCACTCAGTAACGTTCATGTAGTAGAGTTTTATTAGGCAGCTATACAGTCTAGAGGCTTGACTCTGTTAATTAAAACAGGGCAGGGTCCACAGTTCCACGATGATGTGTACCTGGGGGCTCATCTGCTGGAAGCAACAGAAGAGAGGAGGGACCTGCAGTGCTCCTGAACAAACCTAAGGGATCGGTTGTACAGAGCCATGTACCTACAGACACTTACCTTCCAGAAATCCTGCGTTCTAAATAATTCAGAAATTCTACATATGCAATATAGTCAAAACAGAAAATGAATAGGTTGAACTGTTTCTTCTTTTAATGCCATCACTGGAATTGCACTACTGTAACTAATTTTCTTCAGGAGTTTAATACTGTTAATATAACCACTTTTATATTTCCATCCTAATTTAGACCAGGTCAACAGTATCCTTGTTTAGTTTCTTGAAAAATACAAATCAGAATAATCTAGGCCCCCTAACCATGGATTTATTTATTTTTTTCTGAAGTTCAAAGCAGTCTTTATGGACTGCCCCAATACCAGATGTGCCCAATTAATTCCTTTGGAGTTTAATGGCAGCCCTCGTTCCAGCTTTATCACGAAGTCTAGTGTAAAAACAGGAGCTTTTCTCACCTATGGAGTCTGGCAGTTGCTGCAACATATTTGATGACAACAGGAGGTCTTCAAGTCCTTCACATCCCGATATGTCCAAATCAACAGTTTCTATCCTGTTTTTTGACATATCCAGGTACACGAGCTGTTTTAACTTCCCTATAGACTTAATAGCATGTTACAGAGCGTTACTTCAACAGACAGACATGGCATGCCAATTTCCAAGTTTAAAGACAAACAACTGCAATACAGACTTCTACTGGTTTTCACAGCATGCTTTTCTATTTGGTTCACTGAATCAGTATTGGGATTTCTTCAGAAAGCTGCAGAAGGAAAGGCATGGGGCAGAGCTGAAAATCAGATGCTCTGTGAGCCCAGGTGATAATTTAAGGCCTATTAAAATGCTGCCCATTGCCATGAAACCAGCCTATAATTCTGCAGATGACCTGCACCAAGATCAACAGTGAACACAAAACTGATTCGGGTGTTCTGGATTCATTAAGTCTAGGGGGAATTTGAGTTCTCAGTGCCACATGGCCTTATTACTTTCTTTGGTTGGACCTGGATCCCAGGGACACGACTCAGCTCACCCACCCACAGCAGCACTGGGGTGACATATGGCAGCAGTGCATTTCTGTGTCATATCGACTGCCTACATCTTGTGAAGTCTAAAATCAGGTTTCAGATATTCATAGTTCAGTTATGAGAGGTTAATCCCAACAGGTTACTGCGTAATACATTCAGTGCAGCTACAACATCAACGAGCAACTAGACAAAATTTCTCTGAAAATCTGTTGGCATGTGGAGCTCGAAGCCAACAGAAGCAATCTGCTTCTTGGTCCATTATCCCAGGATGGTCACTTTGTTCTAGACATGACGTTTCACCAAGAAAATCAGCAAAATTGATGTTGTTGCTTTCCTTACACTGAAATGTACCAACGGTCTGCAGAGAAGACAGTGGAAAGCAACTTCCCTCACAATGCAAATTGCACAAGGCTCAGATAAAACAGGTACACTCCAATTTAATTACTATCACATAACAGCACAACATTTGGAAAGTCTTCATTTGCGTGGCTATTTTGAGCCTTTTATTTCTTGGTAATGATATTAGAATTAACTGAAAATATGCACCTATTCAGGAAACGCATATGCACTCATTTACTGCACAGTGAACTGTTCATCATCAGTACCACAGATTAGATTACATAAAGTAAATGTTCATACCCCAGGTAGTATTTGCAGAGAATTATTGTCCATCCATAATTCCTTCAGATTTTGTATTTGTTCGAGAACCTCAGGCTGAGGAAAAGAACAGATCACGTTATGGACACTTCCATCAAATGTGTCAGTCTAAATATCTCCTGTAGTCTAAATTCCTTGGAATATTGCAATTCTCATAAGAAGTTGCCTTCCTGTTGCCCAGTCACACGGTGCATTGGGCAGGAAGGAACCCACCCACCCACAGCTCAGTCCCTCCATTCTACGTGCAGCCACATAATGTGTTTCTATTAAAAAACAATTAGTCAATAATTGGAAGGTAATTTATTTTGCCTGAGCTAATTCTATTGAATTTTCTTTTTCTTTTTTGATGGTTAAAATAACTTCTAATTTCCAGGTTAAGTTAATTAGTGGTCATTTTGTGCTATTTGTTCCTGTGATGATTAACGATTCTCTTTTCCTCCGGTGTTCACTGAGGTTAATATAGATGATCATAATTCCTCCCCTCAACTTTAATTTTCTTCTCAGTTCCTCTTATTAGGCAGACACTTTCCCAAAGGCAGCAGACTGCTCCTACAGCTGCACGTGGCCACAATGCCTTAATGCCTTTCAAGCAGAAGCCCAATGGCCAAACCAGAGCACAAAATGCCACGGGTGTCTGTTGAAAAGGGGCATTTCTTACCAGTTCAGAGAATTCATTATTGCCCAAATCAAGTCTCTCCAGCTGAGTCAGCTTGTGCATCGACCTGCAACAGAAAGGGAAATATCTAAGGTGGAATTTTTCCTTGGAAAGAGTTGATCACCTTTTCCTTAGATAAGAATAAGGCTCAAGTGATATTGCTGTTGTAAAAAGGGTTAGATCAGGTGGAAACTGCAAATGAGAACAAAGCACTTCTTTTGGATATCAGCTAAAGTTCTGGAACTGGAAAACTAGCAACAGTTACACAAATATAAAAATAAACAAAATCTTGGTACGCTTCTGCATGTTTTCTCAAGGAAAATGACTCATTTGCAAGCAACTGAAAACTGTATCAACTGTGATAACTAAATTAATTTGCAAGTTTATGATTGGTTTCTTTATGAACTTCTAAAAAGCATTCTAGCTTTTTGTAGCAGAAATGCAAAGGGTGGCTGTTACCTCCCCAAAGCTGGAAGAGCATTGACCTGGTGTTGCAAATGGATGAAAAGCAGCACACAGGTTTCATTTCTAACTCAGGGATCTGTTTGAGACCCGAGGCCCTGTGCTGCAGGGCACGGCTGGGCTGGAGAGGAGCGATGCAATGTCAGCCCCAGCAGCTCATCCTCCTGCCCAGCATTATCAGAGAGCGTGGGATAGGAAGGCAGCATGTGAAAGCAAACAGAAAGTTAATTTCAAACGTGCATTATGGAGTAAAGGGCTTTAAATGAGGAATCATCTGGATTTATGTCTGCAACTGGTCACCGTGTATGTAATGGCTAAAAAGGCACTTTTGTTGCTTGGGCACAGGTAACTGAAACAGTGACATAAAAGTGAAAAATGACTGGGTGAGATTCTTGATTTAAGGAAGCGAACGGGATAAATCTCCCTGGTTTATCTCCAAATTGTGAGAAAAAATGGTTCTCTCAATCACATGTGAGAATCACACGTGGCATCCATGCTCACCAACTGCGAAAAGCACTTAGAATCCATCAGTGTGAATACAGGCAAGCTTTTAAGAACACACAGATGTTTAAAAAACTACGCTCAGAATACCACAGGCATCGACCCAAAGGAGTAATCCCAAAACAGCAAAGATAAATTCAAAATGGAAAGAAAACTGCTGAGCAGCTCTGTAACACCAGCTGAAGGATGGAAGGTAGTGCGATTGTTCTTACTGAGAAGGATGTTCTGCTCTTGTGCAGCACACAGCACCGCTCACATCCCTGCTGGATGCATACTACTGCCACTTCACACACACTACAGCGTCAGAACCTATGGTTGTACAAAGCCAAGGCTGGGAAGTTGCATTCAAAATTACCACAACACTTGAGTTTAAATAGCATCTTCATTTGAATATATTGATCTCTACGGTTTGTGACGAGTGACTCGATGTTAGTAAGTGATTTTGAACAGCAGTCAATACTTTATAAAAGGGGTTATTCAATTTAAACCAAATAGCATTATAAATATTTCATAAAGATTGTAATCATTTTGAAAAACTGGAATAATAATGCTTATATTCCTCCAGTGCTGCACTAAACAAGGCACGTGGGACAGGGCATGTGCTGTGCAGGTGGTGCAACGTGCCAGCCAGTGTCCCTCACCCAGCTTTGGCTCTGCCAGCACTTCCTGGCATTATATGGAGGACAGCCTGGGCCAGGATCGTGGGATCGCAGAACCATTCAGATTGGAAAAGAGCTCCAAGACCCCCAGGCCCAACCCATCCCCACCGTGCCCCCTGGCCATGTCCCTAAAACTGATCCCTTCCAAAAGGCATAAAACACTGCTGTCCTGTTACGGATAAAGTTCAAATGCAATCAATTAAATCCTGCCTTTGTTTCCATGGACATAACGCTGCTGCTGCAGAACTTCTTGCTCAATGCTGGTAGACCAACATGCTCTGAACACAGCACTACATTCCGGTGGTGATAGATAAAAAAACAGAAAGAAATGAAAGGATACAAATAATTAAAGAATTTAGTATGAACTAGAACCACTCTACTACTTAGAGGCCTTCTGAGGTACTCAGAGTTGATCCTAATCCAAAAATTATTACAGTCTCTACTGATGGGATCGCTGCTATGGACCATTTTTTCTCTGTATTCTCTATCAGAAGTAAAGCCAATCGTTAAGGATGCTACGATCAAACAATGGAGATTTGCTTTGAAATTTCAGATACAGAAAAATGATGTGATAGGCTTGGATAGAGAACAATGAGGCATATATATTATGAGAAAACTTCATGTTTTGTTTTCTAAAATACTTAAAAAAAAAACAATTGTTTGACAAAAATGCAAATATCATCCTTCAGTAGAAGGCATTTTCTGCTAAGCATAGGTTATTGAAATGAAAAATCATGTAGATAAACAAATACTTGGCTCTTAAGCTGCAGAAATCATGTATTTTATTACTTTCTTTAAGTAAACAGCCTCCACAACTGACCTCCTGCATTCCTCCATCTTTTAGCTCAACTTCAAGGAACGAACGTTAGGGTCACAAAGGAAGATCAAGCACTGGAGGCGCTTCTGTTCTTTAGAGAAATTAATGTTCTGCAGGGAAGAGTTATTAAAATACATCTGGGCCTCTTCGGTGGAAAAGTAACACCTATTTTTGGAAGACAAGGTGCAAACCAGGATGATGCAGTTCAAGCCTAAAGCATGGAGTGGTTAAATCTGAAACAATACTTATCAATATAACTATGATTAGTCAAGACTGAGTGCACATGATTAAACAGAAAGTGGCTTTTTATACACTATACCGTGACCCCCCCTTCTAAGTCAGTAATATAACTCTTGATTGATTCTCTCCAATTCCCAGTCTGCTTCTTACTGCATTTTTGTTCCTATAGTATTCATTACTTTGAAATATTATTGCTATAAAACCAAAAGAGATGATGAAAATATTTTATCTTTCAGTAGTATCTCTTAAGTATGCAAGAGCGTCTGGAAGACTGGGAGCCATTGCAAGGCAGTAAGTGCCCCACTGGCACGGCACATGATGACAGTGAAGAAGGATAATGAAGTCACCTGCAAACACGAACATTTTCCACTCGTTTCCCCAAAGGGCTCTGTTTGATATTATGCTCTCCATTAAAATTTTAGCTAACGATGTCTTTAACCCCTCTGGTCCTCTATCTCCACTGTAATTCTCTTTGGAAATATCATGCAAGAGCTGACTGCAATTTTACAAATCCAGACAAAAGCACTTTTTAAACAAAGCTGTAACGTACTTAAGTCAGATCAGTTACACTCAATATCTCATTAAATAACTTCTAAGTCACTGAAAATGTTTCAACCTGGTCTCACGTGCCGCATTGGAAACTTTCACCATTGTGCCTTAATTATTATTAGACCAGTTCACATTTCTGAGGCTCAGATACAAGATGCAAATATTGAATACAAATTTTTTTTTAATTAAGTCATCTCAATGGAGAAAGCGATTCCACTAGTGATTGCAAACACTTTTTGACAACAGACTGCCTCACTGCCACTAAGATTCTCATTAACTTTATGAGGATCCTTTCCATGAATGCACACTTCGCCTTGCAGTGCGCTTGCAGGACAAACGACTGCAATTACTCAACCACCACTGGCTGGTTGCTGCTTTGGAGAGAGCACCTCAGCACGTGAGCACTGCAATTTCATCATTACCTACACCCACAGACGTTAAAGGTTTTGCCATCAGAGCACTGGTGTATGCACACTCACAGGTATTTCTCTCTCATTTCTGTGTTTCATATTTGTATTCTACCTCTGAATGTAACATTTGCTTTAAAAGCTCTGTTTTACAGCACTGCAAATTGATTATAGAAAATAACTTTAAACTACAACTTCAAAACACGATGGCACGGTTTCTCATGACAGACAAACAAGTAGTTTCAGAAACAGCAGCATTTGTATGGAGGCAAATGAATTTCAGCAATCCGCTATGGGACTCTGCCAGAAGACAAAGCACACTGCAAAGGTACCCACAGGAATGAACATCCCATCCCATTTCCCACCACTCTGCGATATTTTTGTCTCTTTCATGCAACTACTTATATTTTTCTTCCAAAAAGATCCATTATACTTCTTTATGCGTGGTCATTTTATGACGGAGGAACAGGGAAGGTGCAGTTATGAGTAATGCTCAGTTAAATATTCATTGCTTCAATGACGTAATGTAATTTAATTAATGTGATAATAAAACTTGCAGCCAAATTTTTCACATAAATCTTAATCCAGATCACATTTGGATCCATTCCTCCATCCACAGGCAAGGAGTTGCATGGAGGAGATTGCAGAGCTCACAGAGGGGGGCACTGTGTGCAGTGTAATAAGCTCATGAGAAACTACAAGTGTGCAAGAATCAACGTAAAGAGAAAGATTGTTGAATATTTGGAGAAAAACCAGCACTACTCACACCAGTTTGAATAACATTCACACTACATAAGACGTAACAAACTGCAAAATTCAGTGGTATCAGTTAGAAGCCATCGTGATTACAGACACTGCCCAACATATGTTCTTGCATGTTTGCTTTCATTACCTTGTTTAGAAGTTACTTACCCACAGGCTGTAAATACATTAAATCACCAGGAAAATGCCTTGCTCTAACAGCTCATGGAAAAAAACACAAATGCACACCTCCTGTGCCCCACTCTCCCAGTGACAGGCCTGGCAGAGCGATTACAGTTACACACTGCATTTCCCTGAGCAGCAGCTTACAGTTATGTTTGTATGAGTTTGTGATAAACAGATACCAATATTTCCCAAAGAAATAAAAAGCAACTAATGCAAACGTGCTCCCACTAATGGCCTAACTGCTGTATTCATTTCAAACAATGTTTCCCCACACTTTTATTGTACGTAGTAATTTTTCTGTTAAAGTTATTAAAAACATCACATTCAGGAGACTCTTCCATTTCTAGTACTTTAAACCTTACAATATAACTTTATTAATTAATCAGTTCAGGAGTTGCATTGTAAAAACAGCACTTAATGTTAGTCACCTATGTTAAATGTTGCAGAACAGTTAAATTTTAAACAGGGATGAAGTATTACATTGCATCACCTGTTTCCTTATGCT